GCGTGGAAAGCCAGCGTCCGCAAGGCCGCTGGAAAGTTCTGGGCAAGCTCCTGTGTCAACGCTCTCGCACCGTTACCCTTGTCGGGATTTGACTGGGTGAGCACCCGCCGAAAGATGGTGGGGGGTGTATTCCATAGCCGCACGAGGATATCTGCCACTCCCGGGCAGAAGAAGAACGCGTATGCACAGGCCTTGCCGCAAAATGCCACTAAGCTGGCGGGCGCATGTCTCATGGACATTCTTTCAACCACAAAAGACATCTGAGCCAATAGGTTCTGCGTGAAGATATTCCTTATGTTGTGATGGATCGACTCAAGGAGAAAATCGGACCCCGATGAGCCTTCTGAGCTCTCCGAGATTGAAGTCGATGCATGCTTAAGAGGCTTTGGAAAACTGCCACTCGACGGAGGTAGCGGAAAAGGAATCCGCCATTCAGGTCGAGTCATAATGCCAACGACTGCTTCCAAGTAAACCGGTCGATCCGTCCCAGATATGGACTGGTTGTTCTTGCCGTTGAGCATTTCTAGCAATCCTGTCCACCACTTGTTGAGGATATTTACCCGGCGATCTAGATCCTCGGGCCGCAAGTTTCTACACGACGGATGTGACGAATTTCGAGTCAGGAATGGCAGAAGTGATGAGCGGATAACGTTGGCTTTCAAAGCGCTTGACTTGGCCTGGAACCTGAGCGGGGATAAGTTAACTAGCTCACATCTGTTTCAATCGTTCAGAACTCACTTCTGGAAATCGGCCTCAAGGGTCCGGAAAACGCCCCAGAGCTCATCCTTCTTCCGCGGTATGTCCATACTTCCGGCGAGGTTCGCAGTTGCGGGTGCTTTGGGCACTGGGGGGAGGACCGGCGTCGACACGTTGAGGGTTGCGGTGAGCTTTTCCAGGGAATTCTTAGCCACCAGCGACTGAGGAGAAGAACTACTGGGAGTGCTCGGACTATCTGCTCGACTTTGAGTCACTACCGCGACCATCGGGCGCCGTGGCCGTTTTTGGAGGATTGTTCGCCTGCGGGCTGGGACAGTAGACTCTGCTTCTGTCCCCAGGTCTGTCTGGCCGCCGGTCTTCGATGGTGTTATCGGTGGATTAAGGGTTTGTTCCTCTGTACGCAGAGCACGGAGCCGGGAGCTTTTCCCGGGAGGAGGAGAGCTTGATGTCCATGGTTTCCGAGCCAAACTGACCAGTCTCCCGGACATCGAACGGGCCTTGGAGGGACGAGCAACGGGCGAGGGTGCCCTTGTTTCCGGAACCTTGGTAGGAGGCACAGAGGACTCCGAGCCGGTTGTATCCGACAAATCGTCAGTAGAGACAGTAAAACGAGATACAGCGATAGTAGGTTTGTTCTTGGACCGAAGGGAGGTCCGTCGCAAGATGTCTTTGCCTGCAGCCACATCCTCCTTTGACGGCGACTCGGTCTGTATGGGATGGTTCAAATCCGAAAATGTTCTCCGCAGACCAGGTCGGGCCGTTTCGGAGGCCAACAAATCTGGAAGATGGTTGTAGCTGGCGGAATGGGACAAATGGGTATGTTCGTCATCAGGGCGAGGGTCTGCGATCTCGGGGGAGGACGAAGACATGTTCAAGGATAGCCAAGGCTGGCTATAGGTCCACGCAAAAAAAGAGCCCTAGAGGAGTGTACATCTCCCCCAGCTGCGGAAGACTGGATAGTATACTATCGCTCAAACGGGCGTTGGGGAGACCAGCTCCTCCATATACAACGAATGCACTCCCAGAGAGATTAAACCATATGCGGGCGGGCTTTCTCCAGTAGCATTGAAACGTCCGGTCGCTGTTGCGGAGAGAAGAGAGGGCGGCGAGAAAGGGAGGCTTGGGATTATGGCGGTGCAAGAAGGCAGAGGATAGGCAAGCGACCACGTCGAGCGAATACGGCAGTTATCGACGAAGCTCGGGATGAGACGGTCTCCGAAAAGCTAAACCGGGCACTCTCGACGACGCACGGCGGACTAGGGACTGAAGGTTAGCCAATGCTGGGAAGTAAAAAAGAACGGGCACGGCGGTTGATCGACGGACGGGCAGAATTCCGGCGTAAATTTGAAGTATGGCGGAGAAACGATCGAAGGTTGAACGAGGGGCAGGTGGGAGAGCTGGCACAGCGATGGGAGGGGGGGCTTGGATGTGCTTTCTTCTTTTCTAGTTCTTTATATGCTAGAAGCGCTGGAGCGAAGGGAACAATGGGAAGCAGACAGAAAACGAATGTGCAAAGATCAACGAGAGAAAGGAGCAAGAGCAAGAAACGAGCCCGAGCAGAGCAGCGCAGGGGAAAGGGAAAAAGGAGCCGCAAGATGGATGGGGATGGATAAGAAGAGCGCCAGCGAGAGGATGACGAGCAGGGCCGAATGGGGCAGCGCTGCGAACTGACCGGTTTCAATAATACTTCCAGATGGCCCGTCGATTATACCTCCTCATTACATACAAGCCCTCCACCGGCCTTGTTTCGTTCGTCGGCTAGCTTCTCTGCTCCCTCAGATCGATGTGAGAATCCTTTCGACTGAAGTGACCCCGTGAGGCTGGGCCTGAGCGATGGAGGGAATAACAACGATCACCAACTAGGGGGGCAGTGTCGCCGATGGGGATGGATGGGGATGGGGATGGGGATGAAGAGGGAATTGGGAACCCTACCACGTTTAAGATGGAAGAGAAAATCGGCAGCTTCAATTTTCAGGTAATCTTATCCGAGCTGGCCATCGCTTAGGTTTTCTTTTTCTGCTTCCTTTATTTTTCCCATCTGCCTGCCCGTCTAGATTTATGGCTGATGATGTACTCCCGTCCACGCATGGAGGAAGGAGGTACACACCGTCTGGCTTGCTTGCGCTTGGGCTGTCCCGCCCAGGACGGTATGTATCGCAGGAGGTAAGTACGGGGTATGTAAGTATTTCCGGTATCTGGCCGTTACGATACGCAGTTCCCCGTCGGAATTCGAGCGATCCGAACCACGGACTCGCCCAGAATGAAATCTCGTTCTGCGATTAGGGTCAATTGGGACAAGAGCAATGATGCTCATATGATGAATCCGAGGGCAAGGAGTCTGGTCCTTGATATGGTTCCCCTTGGCCCTTCTATTTTCTCCACCTCATGATGTTTGAAGACTGAGCCATTCTGAGGGCCTGGTGCTCAAGCCTCGAAACCAATAATACATGGGGCCCCAATGCAAGGCTGTGAAGAGAATTCAATAATCGCGTCATGACGAATCATCCTCCAGGCTGGCACTCCTATGAATAACTGATTGTCTTGGTCCTGTAGGCAGATAGGTGCTATGGTAACAAAGTATCGGATCGTTGCGTCCATTAATGGGATGCCAGTCCAACTGTACCATGACGATACGGGGGTCGAAATACCATACTACATATCCACTCTCTTACTCTCACTCACTCTCTCTCCCTCTCTCTCTGGGCTCTCCAGACTCCGACTCTTTTGAAGGCTGCATGCACGTCCAACAGCAGCTTGCAGGAACAGGTTGGGTACGGAGTAGAGTTTCGATCCTCGTCCTGGCCCTGGAGTTGGGCGATGTAAAGCGTCCGTGGAATCGATGTGCTGACTCGTCCGAAGGGGGAGTGAGTGGAGGGGGACATTCTCCCGTGGTTATAATTAGTAGCCTAGGTGTACCATGTAGCTTTCTATTTCGTACAGGAGGAGGACTGGGAGCTTGGCAGGACCCTGATATTAGACCCTATCTGGTTACCGTATGGGGTAATTGTGAAACACGATGAGTAATGCCGTGCGTGTTCGACTTGGCATATTAAACGGTTAGTCAGGCTGGCGACAGGCACTTGGAGTCATCGCTTAAAGGTATCATGGCGGTAATGATCAAGGTAGTGCTCATCTCTTGTCTTGAGAAACTTGGATGTGAAATGTCCTTATCGTCACGCCGTAACTTACCATCGATTGATGGGTTTACCGCCGATGGTCTAGCAGGACCCCCCCGCGAGTTAACCTTCCATCCAGAATCCTCTTCGAATAGTCAGGTCGCTATTCAAATCTTAATTGATTGGGTTTATCGGCCACAAGACAGTGGCGAATTCCTGCCAATCCAATCTTCCGAAGAATGTTGTACAGTTATAAGCGGTCCACCTGGAGACTCCCGCCCCTTTCATTCCATTTGGCCAACGTCACTCTGTTGATAAACTAGAGATGAACTGGCACAGCCAGCCATTTCATCCCTGTCGCCGTTCCCTGGTCTTCTTGCCAGGATTCCTGGAGCATCAGACTTAATCATCTCACAGGCTATCCGCCCCTCAACCCATCCACAGATCGACCCTGCAGGTATGGATGTACGAGCCCCAGGTGAAGTCGATTGCTACAGCCTCATGGTACGATGGCGTAGACATACATCCACAGAGGAGACTAGCGTATCTCCTCCCTCCAAGGGCGGAAACTCTGATGGTCTATCTAGCGGTCTGAGAACTGCCCTGGAGCTGTCATATCTCCCTCTTCACAGTTCATCCACTCAAGCACAACGGCGCTAATCCCCCTGCATCCACTCAAAGTCGACAGATCTCATCTGAACACTAGCAACGGTGATCCGTCTTCCTTTTTCGCCCGATGAAGAAGAACACGTTATGATCGTCTCTCAGCCCGAAGTAAGGTATCTGGACGCAGTTGCATCCCTGGGAAAGCAAGAGAGTCCGGTCACCGGCGCCCATGTGCACTTGACCAGATGTACCGGATGAATTCGTAACTTTCACACGTCGCACACTAGGGTCATCATTGCAGGAGGCGATTTGCATTCTGGCTGGTTGTAGCAAGCCCGCTGTACTCCGGACAGCGTTCCCATAGCATGCTGGGGCCGGCGGCCTGCGACTTATCAATCAGAGGTTGGGACGGTCGGGTATATCAATCCCGCCTGCCGCCACGGTCGCCTGAGGCCAATTTCTGCGCTCGGGGTACCCGCTTGGGCCAAACGTCGGTTACTACTTCCACTTGCCTCTGGGATCACGACAGCATCCCGGATTATCTTCCGAAGAATGCTGCAAGTCATATTTAAGGAGAGGGCATGAGGGAAAAAGAAATTTCATATGCTCCAAGTAGGTTTAATTTACAAAGTTACTCCAGGACTCGGAACAACGGGTGGTATCACGGCTAGGTCCATCCCATTTGTCTATCAGCCCCGACTTTCCATTATCTTGTCGGCGAAAACAAGCAACCTAGTGGGCAGCGTGGACCTCCTCCTCTTCCTCCTCAAACCAGCTCTCCTCAACGGGGGCGGCCTCACCAGCGGCGGCCTGGCCCTCAACCTCAACCTCCTGGCTCTCGTAGGACTTCAGTTCACTGGCGAGGTTGGCCTCCTCGGGGGACTGGGGAGCAGCCGGGGGAGTGAACTTCTGGACGTGAGCGTCGGCATCACCGGGCTTGACGGGGCTGGGCTTGTAGGCACGGAGTTCGCGGAGGTAGAGCTCCTGAACAGGGTCGGCTGCAAGAGGTTAGAACCCGTAGATGCCTCACATGTATGCATATCCTGCCAATTGGCTTTGGCGTTCTGAAGTTGAAGATGGTTGCACACTGCAAAAGGGAATTCACATACCCTGACGGACAGCGGAGGTCAGGAAAGTGCGGCGAGAAACAGAGGAAACCTGTTGCCGAGAGACGCGGGCGAAGAGAGAGCGCTGCCAAACAGGGTCAGTCACAAGGGCACCCGGGGGGGTTGGGCGGGAGTGGGCAGGCGAATTGTAAGCTTACCGACGCTCTGAGAGACTGGGACATCATCGCGGCGGGGTTGGAGATGAGGGGGGTTGGAGGTCGGTGGGTTTCTGCGAAGAGAGCAAGTGCTGATTGAAGCCGATGTTGGAAGTTCGACGTTTGTTCGGGAGGCTTCGGCTTGGCGGCTGAGTCAGCCGTGACCACTGCGGCTCCCTCCCGACGTTTCGTCAGGTGAGTTTCTCAAGTCGCCCCTCTCAACCTTCTCGTTCTTTCTCTTCCCTTTCCCTCTCTACCCTCTCTCTCCTCTCCTTGTTCTTTGTTCCCCTCCCTTTGACACCCCCCAGCCACCTCTTCACGCGGCCTTTCTTGCGGCCCTTGTTTCGTGACATCTCACGGAGACCTTGACTGGTTTATCGCGGTCGGGCAAGTTTGGCGTCGAGGCTTCGGGGCATCCGCTGGAGAAGGAGATCACTGAGTACTTCAGTGCTTTACTCTGGGAACTTTGGCAGGACCAAAAGTCCTCTACCGACCCGGAAAGGTAAAGCACTAGCTTATAGAACCTGATCCCCTCCTTGAGGTTAAGCAGCATGTTGGTGACAGCCGGTCAGCTTCGACCGTGCGTCACTCGTCATGTCGTATTCCTCCGGGAATCCTGCATCATCTCCATCGGAGCTGTTGAGACTTGCTTGGGGCATTCAGGCTAACATGAGTACAAAAGGCAGTGACGCAGAGACGTGATTGCAGACAAGTCTGAGCGATTTGCGCCCCTGCTGTCCCGTCCCTTTTCGTTGCTCCTGTTGAGAGCGCATCGACTCTCAAGGCCTGTTCGGCCTCCATCCGTCACTCTTCGATCGTCATACTCGCAGACACAACGATTTCGATTACTTCCGCGAAAATCGCAAGCCGACTACGATAGACCATCGGACCCGTCTCCCTGTCCGTGAAAATGGCCGCTGTTTCCCCTGCAGCAGCCAGATCCGAGCCCGGACAATGGAAGAAGAACCTCTCGGCTCACGTCATATGCCCTGAGTGCAAAGAAGTCCCTCCGAACTTGGAGTTTCCTGGGTCACACGAAACGGTTTGCGGCTCGTGTGGCTTGGTGCTTGCCGATCGGGAAATCGACATGCACTCCGAATGGAGAACGTTCTCAAACGACGACCAGAACAACGACGATCCCTCCCGTGTCGGAGATGCTACGAATCCACTCCTCAACGGTGATCAGCTGGAGACGCAAATCGCCAGCGGCGGATCTGGTCGTGTCCGTGACCTCTATCGTGCTCAGAACAAACAGTCGAGTGAGAAGGCGAACAAGTCTCTTCTGGCGGCCTACAAGGAGATTGGCGCCCTCTGTGATGGTTTCAACATCCAGAAGAATGTGGCAGATACGGCGAAATATCTTTTCAAGATTGTGGACGATGCCAAGGCCTTCAAGGGTAAATCTCAGGATGTGATTATTGCGGGTTGTATCTTCATTGCTTGTCGCCAGTGCAAGGTTCCCCGTACCTTCACCGAAATTTTTGCAGTCACCAAGGTCACAAGGAAGGAGATCGGACGCATCTACAAAGCTTTGGAGAAGTTCTTCACTGCTCAGAACCTCGAGAGAATTAACGCTGTGGTTTCCAGTGGAGGAGTTCCCGACCCCAATGACACATACACCGCAACCACCTCCACCAAGCCCAGCGACCTTTGCAACCGTTTCTGTAACCTTCTTGATTTGCCGTTCCAGGTCACCAGCGTGTCCTCTTCTCTCTCAGATCGTGTGACAACGATGGGAGATTTGGCTGGGCGGTCTCCGCTGTCTATCGTGGCAGCTTGCATTTACATGGCTTCGTACCTAATGGGACATGGCAAATCTGCCAAGGAGATATCTCAGGTGGCTCACGTCAGCGATGGAACGATTCGTGGTGCTTATAAGCAGCTTTTTGCTGAAAGAGAGCGCCTGATCGACCCCGAATGGATCAAAGATGGGAAGGGTGATCTGAAGAATCTACCTGCTAGTTAAATGCCCGGCCTGTCACTCAGTTGATTGTCGACCCTTGCAAGGAAGGTTGCTTGTGCCTTAACAACTTCCTATTCGCATCCCGCTAGCTATCAAGAGTAAATATGATACCCAATCACCTAGAGATAAAGAAAAAAAAAAAGAGTTACCAATCCCAACCAGTCCTTGCGGATGCCTAGCACAAATTTATCAAAGACTGGATATCTGGGAAATTTGGCCTGGATGTGTTTGTTTTCCATTGGCATCGAGCATCACATTTTCTTACTATTTCTTATCCTAATATACGATTCATTTCTTCGCAACCCGTCCCAGAGCTACAGACACTTATCCCAAAAGCAACTTCTGTTGTTCCTTGTTTCCTTGCATCGCTTGCCCATACTTCTGAGCCTTACTGCTTTTTTCCGAATCGCATTTAATCAACTGATAGCTTTCGTTGGTTATCCTAGGAGTGTTGCAATATCTTTCATGGCATAGATTGACAAGCATTAGATTGAATGCAATCTAGATCTCTAGTATCATGGTGTGACGTAGATGGCGCTGCGTTAAAGTCTAGTAGAAGCAGTCCTCACTTCACTCTTCAAAGAATGTACGGTGCTATTACAAAGGATGGGAGGGAGGAGGTGCCCAAGCTAGCTGCTATCTAGCCATACTTACTTTGTCAGGTGGCGGCGGCGGCTCTATGACTACTGCACAGAGATATGGTAGTACTATGTGTGTATGTGCTATCAGAGAAAACATGAATGGGCAAAGCGCAGAGGTGAAAAGAAGGCAACAGGCACAGGCAGACAATCGTCAACAACCGTAACTTCACTGGGTTTCGCCAATGTCACCGGTTGAGAGCCGTTTGCTGTCCGCAGATGCAGCTAAGGTTTCAGCGACGTTGTCGACATCCTGCTCAGGAGACGAGGCCTGGTTGGCGACGGTCACGTCCTCCTTGACCACGGGTTCTATAGCAGGGCTTGGATCGGCCGGGCTATCGGTGGCCGTTGATATTGAGTGGGCAGCGTCAGTGAATGTGGGTTCTTGGGCCTCGGTTACTTTTGCGGCTCCTGGTGAGATGAGGGCTTCGTCTTCCTTTTCAGGTGATGGTTGCGGATCGACGGATTCACCGGCGGTATTCTTTGCTAGAGCCGGAGCCATGGTATCAGGTGTAGTATCGGCAGAAGCAGCCTTGACCTCACCAACAACCAAGTTACCGTCTTCGCCGACCTGCCAGACATTCCATGTTGTGGTAATCTTGACCTCGGGAATCGTCGGTAGCCTTGTGCTAGCTTTCTCGACGGCAGGCTTTCTCCGCGCGGGTCCACGAGCGCGTCCCTTCCGAGCATCACTCAAAGGTTGCTTTTCTACCGGAGGCTCCTCTTCCTCCTTCTTCTTCTCCTGTGGCCTTGGAGGAGCTTGCGGGCCAAGCTGGAGCCGTGAGTTCAGGTCTGAGAGAAATCCTGCCTTCAAAGCAGCGATCTTGCTTCCGCCAGGGCGGGCTGGCACAGCCGGTTTCGGCTTGGCGGTTATATCCCTAGGTTCCTCTGAACTGACACGTGAGATGGGCTTAGCTGGACGGGCTGGGATCTGGGGCTTCGGCCTATCCGGAATAACGGGTGGCTGGCGCTTTTCAGTGGGCGAAGTGACAGGCTTCGTAGAAGGATCCGCTGTATGAGCTTGTTGCGGTCGCTTCTGAGGACGCGACGGGATGCTTGGTTTCGAGGGCACTTCTGGGCTCTTGACTTGCTCATCTGATGGCTCAATTGTTGTCACTAGCGTATGGCTTTCAGGCGCGTCTTCCCAGATGTCCCGGCTGGGGAACCTCTGCTTAGCCACCTCCGGTCGTGCCGGGGGCTTCTCATCATGGTCTTCCGATTCCAGAATCTGGGACGCAACCTGATGAGCGTCCAGTTGGCTTGCGTGGCTCCTACGGAATGATTCCTGCTCCGGGGTTTCGAAGATGTCATTCTTTGGAATATCCGGAGTAGATACCGTGGCATGCAGCTGCAGACTATTGGGCGAGTCTTCCCAGATATCCTGACTAGGGAACCGGTGCTTGAGCTCTGGGCGCTGTTTAAAGCGGTCTGCAGTCGAGACAGTCTTCTTGTTTTCTGCGTCATCCTCGGGAAAAAGAGGTTCGTATTCCTCGACATCTTCAAGAGGTGTATAGACACCTCCGTGGTCTTCGCGCGAATCATATCGTGTCAAAGCCGGCATGCCACTGGGTATACTGGCAGTCCTGCTATTTGACCGGCTGTGGTTGACGCTTGGCGTGCGACTTCTACCTTCATAGTCAACACTACCACTTCGCCCGAACGAGGGCGAGACAGCGGGGTGTTGGAAGGCCGACTCGGGGCGTACTTCATCGGCAGCCAAGATGGGTTCATTGTCCTCGGCGTTTCGCTCACCAGTTCCATGGGCAAGCTCTTCCGGATCCGGGGTTTGGGCAAAACCATCGGGATGGTGCAAGTGATGGTACGGCTCGTCAACATGAATCACTCGTGCAGCTTGCGGTTTTTCAGCTATGTCCTTTTCCACCATGTCATCCTGTTCGCTCTGAACATCTGGGGCTGGTACATCCGACTTGCGGAGAGGCGACTCAAAGGCCGGGCGGGAATCACGACGCGAGTCAGGAGGCGGAGATGACATGCGATGCGTATATTCGTCAGAGGCAATATAGCCCACTTCTTCTTCTGGGGTTCCTGCTACAGCAGGCGAGGTACCTATGTATTCACGTTAGCACTCGCTTTCCGCATACTATAGACGTGGTATTAGACAAACCGAGTCCTGTGCCAGTAACGGCAGAGCCTCGTACAATCTTATTCAAGTCATCACTGCTCAAAGCCCAATCTGGTCTGGGAGTTCCAACTCCGGGACCATATTGGCCTTGCTCTTCCCTAACGTATTCTTCGGGGTGCTTCTCGTACCAAGCTTTCTCAAACTTGTCGTTTGTGGGCACACCATGGCCATGCAGGCCATAACTTCCAGGTGGCAGGGAGGCCTCCCGACCACTGCGAGTTCGGTGGTGACTGCGCCCTGGGCGTTGCTGTTGTTGGTGCTCTACGATGTAAGGGCTAGGGGACGGAGCCTGAACGTCGCCCGCGTTGGGGTACATTGGGACTCTCTGCCCGATCTCCGGGATTCCATGCTCATCGCCGTGGAGTGACTGCCGACGATCAGCAGATGCGGTCGACGATTCAGCCCGTGAGCCACTAGCCCGTGAATGCAGCGAGCGGGTGGGCCGTTCGGGGTGGTCATCATGAGAAGGAGTCCCGACACGACCCAAGCCTGCTGCTGCTGCTTGACGGGAATCTGTACGTGTGACAGCCTGCACCTTGGCCTTGGCGCTTGAGGAGGGGAGTGACGGTCTTGGCGCATGGAGCTTGAGGTCGCTCCCCACGTTGCGTGTTTCCGCGGGTGTTGTCTGGTGGTTGTCGGAGACATTACCAACATCTAATTCCTCGTACTCGATACCCTCTTCACCCAGAGATGGGATTGTCACACTTGGGGGACGAGGAGGCAGATCATTCGAGGTGGTACGCTTCATGCTTGATCCGTTGGGCAATTCATTCAATGGAGAAGGTGCGTAGCTATCGCGATAGGGAGACACGGAGCGCTCAATGCGATGGCCAGGACGAGGGGGTATTTTGGGCATATCTGCTGATGGGGGCGCAAGGCCCTGTTGAGGTGATCTTGTCGGCCGGGGAGGAACGACCGGAGCAGTGTGTGTTGCCATGGTTGGTTTATAAGATTATTCCGGTATGTGCTATAAATTCAATTCTAACAGATGTTAGTCTCGCCAGGACATCAACATAAATCAAGTCCAAAGTCACATGAGTTTGACTTTGGGGGGGGATGAGGGAGGAGAGGGGGGTTGATCAGGCTTGGGCTTGGGCTGGAGCTAGCACAGGGCAGCTGTGCATACGTGCATAGGGGGTCTGAATCAGGATAGGATGCAGGGGTGGTGTTTGGCCTGGGGGGACGTGCTCGCTCTGGCAAAGGAGGAGAGAGCACTAGCCAGCAGAGGGGGTGCAAGCGAGGGCACGAGGCGAAATCTGCCGCAGGGATTGTACATATGTAGCCCGAAGCCGGGTGATAAGATAGGTGCCATGCAACGCCGCTCACGTTCTTTGTTGTCTTGGCTTCTCCGCCAGATCTCTGCAGGCGGAGAGGCAGGGATTTGACGGATTTGGAGCAATGGGAATGAAAGCATCGTGGTGACTGATAAGGGATGTGGAATTGATTCGCTTACCTGGGAGAGATAAAGTGTAGAAGCAATGATTAGGTGCTCGCTCGTGCTCTACGGGCGAGTCAATTCCGGGGGGATCCAGCAGCAAGTGTGGATGGGAGACAGTGATAAGATGGGATATGCCAGGGAGGCCGAGAAATGAGGAGAACGAGGACAAGAAGAGGAGAAGACCTTGGCAGAAGACGGTCAGGCCTGCAAGATATGGGGACGAAGCAGCAGCGGCGGATGATGTATGACTCCCGCAAAGTGGCCGTAAAAGCCAGTCTAACCGCTTTCTTCCTGCCACGGCCCACCGCCCCGTCGCGTGACGTGCTCTGACGGCATTCTACCGCCCCTTTCCCCCCAAGGAAACCGTACGGTAACCGTATCCGGGCTGTGAGCCAACCGGGGCCTTTTGTTGCATTACTTCGAGGCGGTGGCAGAGGACCCCGCTGCTGGGGTTGAGAGTCATTTTTAGGTTTCCTATTTTTTCTTTCTGTATCATGATGTATTTCTCCTTTCATTGGATCTTTGGCTGCAATGCCTGGGTACTTGGAGACACGGCTCCTCGACCCTTGGAAGGATCCTTGCAAATGAAATGCATTGACATATAGAATGTTCGTGTTGACTATTACAAGGGTCATCTTAATACTCCGTATCAAAAGCCTGCTATACAACGGCTGGACTCTCAGGCATCCATCGTTCAGCTGACAATGGTCGACCAATAGCAACAACCCCAAGACTCATAAAGGGACCTCTCATATGCATGGATGGAGAGGTACTGTCGCAACCGGGATTTTACTTTTTCCCTTTTTCGCGGCCTTGACACATTGCATCATTGAGGCATTTTCTCCCTCTGGCATGCATTGTTCAACCTTCCAAAAGCAGACCAAAGTTACAGGGCGTCTACCGACCAAAACGCCGATGTTGCCTAGGTACCTTAGTAGCTTGACGATAGCAAGTTAGCGCTCTCTGAAGCTGCGAATTGGCATCAACCATATGGTCAGCTCAGGCCCAGGTTGGCCCCCGCCTTGGACGATGCAGAAACTCAGGATCAAAATTGGCGGGCCATGGTTGATGATCTGGCCGATCCATTTTTGACCGTCGCTCTAAGAATAGGAGTAAATCCCTCCCCCTCTCGTATCTATGTTGTATGGGGAATAGGCATAAAATACTCCGGACTCCGTACTGGTAAGAAATAAATCCCTCTGCGTCAGGGACCACTGCCCCCCCCCCCCCCCGTGTTGGAAGATTGCGTCGGGCTAGACCGTGGTCCAGAAGCATTCTCAGCCACAGCGCCACAAAGGATTATCCAGGCTGGATGCAGTTGGCTATCGGACTTGGAACTAGTCAAAAGGCAGAAAGGCTGTGTCAAAATCATGAATCTGGTCGGTGTTCTTCGGGTACGACGGTGCTTTGTATTGAGGTAGGTGTGCTGCTACAATTTTCGTTAATTCCACCCCTTCATGTGGCGGTGCAGCGGACTCAATTACAGGTGCGGATCTACAGTGGTACAACAAATGTGATGACTGCCGACCAATACTAGGATACAGAGTGCCATACACATGAATATCCCTCATAGTTCTCGAGGAACAAGTAGAACAGGCCCCCGGGCATTCAGTTCTGCCCGTGTCCGTTAGTGAATATGGATAGATGTACCCGCGTAATCACTATATATTACTCAACCAAGAATTTGCAGCCACCTCGGTCTCTACTGACCAAATGACTACTATGACTGGAAGACGACATCCAGATATAAATTGCATGAAAGCTAATTCCATGATAAGCTTGATTGATCTGGTCAGGACAGTAAAGCAAGTTCATTGGCCATAATCAATTCTTAGATGCTCTCAGATCTCATTAATTACTAGTATCTCTATAGGGAAACTCCCTGAAGTATAGATATCGACATGTTCTCCATAAATATAGCATTATTGTACTCAGTAGGGAAGCAGCAAATGAAGGTATGCTCTAGAGAAATTTACAGAATGATTCAACATCATATGTATGGTATATGGACAGTCTCAGTCGACTGAAATCTAGTACTATACATATAAGGTCTCAGATATAGAAAGTAGCCCCGCGAACCAGAGGGTATAAATGCGACCTACTGCCGGCCGTTGGACCTAGACAATAACAGGATCGGCGTCTTGCTTCCCTGAGAGCAATGGCATCGAAGTAGTGCCACACAGCACTTTCGGGTTGTCGTACGTAAAGGGCGTCGCGTATCTCTCGATCTGCTGAATAGGAGATTACATGGCTGGATATCAGCCATCCTGTACTCCGTACAGGAGAAGCATTGAAGATTCTTTTGACCACCGACATGCTAGTTGGGGGAAGGGATTTAAGGTGCCCGGGACCAAATCAAGGCTGGATGCGGCGGGCGCTCTTGACGTGTTTGGCGTAGCTGATAATTGGTGCGCTGGCACGGAAAACTTATCCTACCGACAGGACCAACTATTACTGGTCCCGTCCTGCCTCGTCCTCCATCCCAGGTGGGCTCCCAGTCGAGTCTCCAAATTCCAATGCTCCGTTCTGGTCCGCGCCACTCTCCTTCTCTCTCACTGCCTTTTGATTCTCACATCTCCTTCCTGTAACCTCTCATCCGAGGAGTTACCGGTCATGTCCAGCTGGCTTCTTGTCATGGCCACTGGTCCATAGGCCATCGGTTTGTCAGGAAATGCACGCCAACGCCGATGAATCTGGGGCATATGTTGATTTCTGACCCAACGCTTTCGACTGAACATGTTTCCTCCGTCTTCATCTGCTATCCTTATTCATCTAACATCTTTCTATGTGACTCGTTACAAGCATGGCTAAAGTCGATGTAAACCTGATGGAGGGACAATGCAATCCTCGCGTGAAATACGGTCATACCACGGCTCACAGCCATTGTGAAGTCTCCTGCCCTCGGTGGTCCAGCACTCTCCTTCCACTTTCGGTTTCCTCAACCACAATAAGGGATTCAACTTGTTAGACAACCACCATTACACATATCTTTGATCCCATTCGCTCTGCCGCATACTAGTCCATACTGTTTTAGCTTGCTTCGTCAGGTAATCTTCGACTGGTATTGAATGTAATATACCAAACCCGCAGTACACTTTGTTTTGTAAATGCACGGAAGTTTCTAGAATTTTCACTACATAGCCTGGCATATGTACGGAGTTACTATATCAGATTCTCCTCCCCATTCTCCACAAGCCCCAAAGTAACCCGCCCACCAGGCCTCCTCCGCAAAACCCGACGAACCCCTAATGATTCCACTACCTCCTCCCGCTTCGCCCACCCCTTCACCGCCCCATCATCCATCCGATCCGCCTCCTCCAGAATCGGCCGCGTCTCCTTCGAAACCACCTGCGCCACCGTCTGCCAGTAACTCCCAATGAACGAGATCTCGGCCGACCTCACAAACCGGACGAGCACCACCACCACAGTGATCGAATGAATCACAATGAGCACCGTCCCCAGCACAAAGCCAGTCCACTGCACCGGAATCGCCGCGGTGAGCGAGAACATCGTCACGGCCGCGACCGGACTATTCAACTGGACCAATTGGTCGTAGTATGCCATCTGATAGATGCGGGTGAGCAGGGCCTGGACGGCCAACGCCGGACTGGCCGTCGTAATCAGGGTGTCCTGGAACAGATCCACATGGCTCGGATGGGCGTTGCCGAAGATGATGCCAGGATCTTTGCGGGAGAGGATCACGCCGGGGTCGTAGGTGTAGTTGAGGAGGTAGGAATTGAGGAAGGTGGGGAAAATTAGGATGGCCTTGAAGAAGGGGGTTGGGTCGACTCCTAAGGTATCCGCTGGGGGATGGAAGATTTCCCATTGGGATCGGGGGTCCAGCGTGAGGATACCCCGGTGGTTGGCGGAGCTCGTGTTGCCTGGGGATGATACACCTAGTTGGAGGCGGGAGGGTTCGGTGTTGTAGCTTTGGGTGTATTGGTCCCAGGCAGTCTTGGGCTCGAGGTTGTCAGATGTGCTGTTCATTCCGACAGTGAACGTTTGCATGGCGAGATTGGTGAGGCAAGCAGAGATACGGAGGGTTTCGATGTGGGCGGATCCGTTATTGACTATCGTCCAGGGGCCATCGGTTCGGATCGTCTGAACGGCTGGGGTGCCTAATGTGCCGATTATTGCGGCGGTGGAAACGACGTCGAGGACGATGAATAGGGTCGAGGCCTCTGGGAAGCCGTCGGGCTGGATCAAAGGGTCTTCGATGAGGACTGTCCAGTTTAAGCGGCTTTTGGGGATGCACAAGCTGGTCTCGCCCACCGTGTTGTTGTCCCAGAAGTTTGGGGTGGGTAATTCGCAGGTGAAGTTGATGTAGGGTTGAGAGTCCGGGTCGATTAAAAGTGGATAGGTCAAATTCTCCGTGGGAATTTGTCCGGACAGGTGCACATAACTCTCCAAGGTCGCATCTAGGCTCAAGTTGATCAGGGGCGGACTGGCGCAGACAACCCGATGATCCATGACAGGCACTGGGCCACGGAGCCGGTGTAGTTTGGTTCGTTGCGCCTCCTCCTCGAAAGGAAGGAAAGCTCGAAAGGTATGCCCGGTATCATGGAATCCCGATCGGTCTTCAAAGGATCCCGACAGCTCAGCGAATGTCCAGCTGGCTGCAGGAGGCATATACCACCATCCACCGGCAAGGCCGTTATCCGTGGTATTGAGGACATTGACATTGGTCGAATTGCTGCGCTGGGTGAAAGTCCCATTGGCAAAATCGGACAGCAAGATGGTGGACAGGAACTGGGACGCTGCTGTCACCAGGACCTCGATGAGCACCAGCGCATAAATGAAGCGCGACAGGTGAGGCTGGAAGTTGGTCGCAGTCCAAAGGTTGCTAGGAGCCACCTTGACTGCCCGGAGCATGGAGTAAAATGGACCCAGTAGGAGGGGGACGCCCGTGGTCTCCAAAACAATCCCCGCGACCATGGCCGTGACAAGTCCGGCTTGGAAAGCCACCACCGTTCGGATAGAGGCGGTGCATACGGTCACCAGTCGCGTCGCCCAGCCTGCATTGACGACCCGCACCCAGTAGATCTCTGGCTCCGCCCCGTCAATAGCTTTCATTGATCCGTGCCAGAACAGGGCCAGGAGTGTCACTGCGAGCAGGAGGAGTGGGAAGCCGAGGAATACAGTCAGAACACTGGTGGTATCGATTCTATGCCAGAGATTCCTTCGCTTGCGATGAGGCTGTTCCTCTTCGGCCTCTTCGTGGTTGTCTTCCGCGTTTGTGTTGAGGGCTTCTAAAGGGATATACTCCCTTCTACCACTAGAAGCCATGACACAAATAGCACCTGACAGCAGAGAGAACCCAGTAGACAGTCTGAGAGCAGTGAGTTGGAGGGAGATGGTGGCGCCTGCCTGGTTGGGATTTACTTGTGATCCTTCGTAGTGCAGGGGAAGTAGGTTGGGCACAGTGCCTCAGCCTCACGATTAACAGTCTAACCGCATACAGGGACAGAAGTGAAATTATCAGGCTGGAAAAATAGCAGGGTAATCCGCTACGTTTTCTGTAAGGCTGGCGCACTCGACTGGCCGGACGTCTACCTGTGAGCATATACATGGTCATTGATCACAGGGAGGCAGTATATGTATGTCAAAGGTACTTAACATCTTAGGATACTTCTTGGCGGGAGGGGCGTGAGCTGGCTCACCTCCATCTCCACCGAGCATCTGCGGCGGAGGTCGTGCCGGTCGATCATCAATAGTCTCACAGTTACATTGGGCCGGTCATCTCTTGCCGCTAAATCCTAGAGGCAAGTATGCACACGCGGCTTGATAGCGCACGCGAAAGAAAATAGGTGGTAGCAATACTGGTTCAGGTCACCTGACACCCGGGAGCCCAACTGATTTGCGCAGAGCTGCCCTTTACATCACTGTGACATTAACTCAACTCCAGCGTGTGCGAGGGACCAGTCTTTGCGCAAATTTGGTGTCAGGGATCATGTAGACAATCCTTTCGCCACCAATCATGATGGCGGAGCCCTGGAGCCCGGTTTCTCCTGCCAGCGGCACGCGATTCCTCAGCATTTAGGACCCTGAACTCCTGGGGCACTGGCTTTCTCTTCCTGAGTTTCAGGGGCGGGTTGGTAAGGCACAAGCACTCGTATTATCGAGAGGATTGCATTGTTGCATCATTCCACGAAGCCCGTCGTTCGTTCCGGCCTTCCTTACATAGGTGGACTGGGCGCCAATCAGATGTGCAGGCAATGGCATCTGGCCATGTAGGTACTCTGTACTTCCATCCTGCCTAAACGTCTGGCAAGTGTTTATCTACCTAGGGCCCCTGCAGCCTGTCAGTCAAGGTGCTGACGACGGTGGGAGGCCTAAAGACGACAATAGCATTCTTCCTTTCGGGCACCTATTGTATCCTCCAATATATCACAAGGAACGAGTCCTAAGAGACCCGAAACCTGGGCATTCATGGTCGGATGGCGTGGCCGTGGCACTTTCCTATTCCAGGAGTTCCCTCTTCTTCCATGTGGCCCATGAGTTTAGATACTCCGAGGATCCTACTTTTCCTTGCTGCCTGTAACTCTGCGTCGAGCTAGTAGTAACATCTACTATGATTCTGAAGCCAGACCACTCGTGATAAGACTGAATGCATTCCAGTCTTTCTAGGTGGTTCTAGGCCTTCTACCCCCGCTGGGTGTGATGCCAAGAATCGTGATATCGTATTGTGCCTGTCTGGCTCGACCCTTCATCCCCTACTCGGGTTCCTCTGATGTAGGCTTTGACTTGACTTGGCTTCCTGCGGTACAGGATGCATCTCAGACGTGGTTGCAAGAGACTCGCTTAATCGGTTACACTGGGAGTGAACGCAGTCTGTCCTCACAATTACCTAAGTGTAATACCATCAGGCACTCCCTCGAACTGAAGGTAAGTAGGTCTGTGAAACCAAGATTAGTCAGGGAATCCTGGGCATGTAACTACCCCGCAGAGGGGGTTTCTTTTCCCTATCGATAAAGATGGGGGGGATAGGTGGGTAGATAATTTGCCAATACTCGGGAAGATTAGAATGCAGCTTGATTCACTGGCAGCTCGAGTTGACTGCTTGGGTAGCTGAGGGTAGACTCGGTTATTCCGGGTGAGTGGAAATGCGCAGCCAAGATTACCTTTTCCAGGCGAGCATGACGCCTTTCACGCCCTGTTTCCGGAGAGATGATAAAGCCTATCTATCTAATCGGGAGTACACCGCCCTCGGCTAGAATCGGTACAAGGGGCTCCAAGCGGCGGGCCGATTGATATGCAGGAACGGTCGAGGAGGATCTAGGAGGTCGATTTATAGATTCTGTTACCAAATTGACGCGACAAAGGGCGGATGCGAGCCTATCATAAGCTGGCGCCCTGTTTCTGACAGGAGCCAAATGCGGGATACATTGCATGTCGCGTGGGAAGTTCGGATATCGATGGCGAAAAAGTCCCATAGAATCAAGGAACTCGGGCCGGCGAAGCAGAAAAACTTTTCTTTGCCGCCCCTTATGGTGTGCCTTAAATTCGGTGGATGCGTCTGAGTTCGTCCCTTTCTGCAGAAGATTTGTCTTTGATTGTTCTTTGTCTTTGCCACCGGCCCGCCACTTCGAACGCGCAAATCAATTTCTGCCCGTTATCGGATCTGATAGTTCGTGCTTCCGAACGGGTCGTCAGGGTCATTCCGTGACTCATAATCACCGCGGAAGTCACTTGCGCCCAATCACACTCCATCTGCTGGTATATTAGCTCGGTCCTGGTCGCACACGCAAACCACATCTACACCAAACCAACATCGCAATAATGGGTTCCATTGCGCCTTCCCTTGCTGAGCTCGATGCCTCGGCCGTCAAGGTCACCCGCTCGACCAATCTCCGCGATGTGCCTCTTCCTGGCTCCGCGGAGGAGCTGAGCCACTCCTACTGCACCGATCATATGGTCACTGCCCGATGGACCGCGACTAATGGCTGGGAGGCGCCCGAAGTGAGACCATTCGAGAACCTCAGCATCCCGCCCACGGCTTCCTGCTTGCACTATGCTACCGAATGTTTCGAGGGTATGAAGGTATACCGGGGATATGATGGCAAGTTGCGTCTGTTTCGGCCGGACTGCAACGGAGAGCGTTTGGTGAACAGCGCCAAGCGGTCCTCGTTGCCTGGCTTCCGGTACGAGGAGCTCAAGCGCCTCATCGCCAAGTTGATGCAGATCGATGGACCCCGTAAGTGGTTCCCATTCCAGTAGCGAATACGATGTCCATGGCTGCGACTGACACCTATGGCTTAACCCACAGGTTGGCTGCCCAAGGATCAGCCCGGTCGTTTCCTCTACCTCCGCCCTGCGATGATCGGTAGCGGCCCACACTTGGGCGTCCAGAAACCCAAGGAAGCCCTCCTCTTCGTCATTGCCGTGCCGTGGCCCGATCCCGCCAAGAAGCAGACCGACCAGCCTGGTGTTCCGTACGGTCTGAAGCTTTACGCTTCTCAGCCCGATACTATCCGTGCTTGGCCTGGTGGTTTCGGATACGCGAAGCTCGGCGCGAACTATGGTCCGTCGTTGGTTGCCCACAGCCAGGCCCAGGAGCTTGGGTTTGATCAGGTCCTTTGGCTGTTCGGCGAGGACCGCCAGGTCACCGAGGCAGGTGCTAGCAACTTCTTCATTGTGTGGGAGAACAAGGAGAGTGGAAAGCTTGAGCTGGTCACCCCCACGTTGGAGAACCAGCTGATCCTTCCTGGTGTCACTCGTCGCAGTGTTCTGGAGTTGGCACGCACGCGTCTGTCCCAGGCCGTTGGAAAGCTTGCGCCGGTCGATGTGGTCGAGAAGCAGTTCACGATCGATGATATCCAGCAGGCTTGGAAGGAGGGACGTATCGTCGAGGCGTTCGTCTGCGGTACTGCTGTAAGTTACAACCTTTCCTGTGGGCTCCGTTTGTGGGTCTAGTGGTACTAACAACGGCCTAGTACTTTGTCACCCCCATCAGGCTCATCCGCAACGGAGACGTGGACATGAACATGCAGGAGGCTGGTGCCGAGCGCGCCGGATATTCGACTCAGATCAAGTCGTGGCTGGAGGCCATCATGTTCGGCATGAAGGGCGAGGAATCCCACGAGTGGGGATATGTCATTGACAACGAAACCGAGCAGTAAACGATAAGCCTTGTGGCAAATCGGTAATGTTCTTAAAAGAGCCCGCTGGATGGACTCGTGCAAGAGCAGAAAGGGGCGCGTTGGAGATTGTTGGTGCGGGGCGGGAGGTTGCAAATACCTACTTACTGTATATACCTTTTAAGACCTTCTAGACTAGTATGGACTCATGTGATATGTCACGCTCTGTTAATATGCCGGCCGTCAGCTTATTGGCTCTCCTTCTCCGATCCCTGCTGCTATGTGACCATCTTCTCCGGACACTAGTATCGGAAGGGTCATAGTATAGACAGTTCGGGGCCACCATAGATTGCTGCGGATCCAATGGACCGGTCTGGATGTTGAATATAACTCGCATCATGTCGTCCAAATATAGCAACTCATCTCATGTCCATTGCAGCCATCTGGAATCCTCAATCCTCCTCCGTATTGACATCATCCGGCGTAGCATTCTCTCCCAGATCGACCACCATCGGCGCATACTCGCCTAGTTCATCATCCTCATCATCGTCATGCATATCCAGCTCCACCTGTTCGCCATCCTCCAACTGGACCATCCCCCGTCGGACCACCACCTCGCGATTCAACTCCCAGTCATACTCCTCTTTGACCCACGCCTCTAACTTCTCAAACTCAGTCTTCACCACCGACTCCGTTACCTCAACGACCTCATACAGCGACCGCCGAAATTTGATCAGGAGCTTCCGCAGAAACTCCCCCCCTTCCTCCCCATCCAGGTCAAAAAGCCCCCCTTCCACATCATCACATCGCTTCAGCTGTAGCAAAAGCAGTCTCAGCACCCCGCTGACCAGCACCTCCCGATCCCGTATCGCCCTCCGACACGTCAACACCAACTCCAACAACCGCTTCCACTGCTGCAAACACGAGTAATTCATCAACGTCAAGATCATCAGGAACGTAAACTGTAACTCCCCCAGCACTTGTGCCTCCCCATCCCTCTCCTCCCCCGAAACCCGCTGCACCAGATCCCCCAACGCCCACGACCGATCCTGCGCCGCCTCCGTCCTCTCCCGCCCTATCGCCCCCTCCCGCCACGTCCGCTTCAAATCCACCGGCAAGAACGAAAACTCGCTCTCCTTCTCCCCCGTCACTTTCTCCATCTCCTCCTTCGCCGTCTCCGGATCTGTATCTGTAATCCCCGGTATCACATCATTATCCCGTAGCGCCGAACTCGCCGACGTAACCATCCATCGTGCCCGTCCATCCACATCCACCACCGCATCGCCCACAACCCTCGTCAACAGCCCCGGGGTCATCTGATCCGTGAGATCCCTCCACGTTTGTCTCCCCTCCGCTTCATCCTCCTCGTCAATCTCATACTGCACGGGCCGGCCAGCACTCTGCTGTGCTAACGCGGCGGGGGATACGCGACTACAGTAGCGGAATAATCCGCCCCGTTGCCAGATCGTCCCGAGGTTGGCTTTATGGCGGAGCGCTTCTTGTTTATCTGTGTTGTTGGTGGCGAGGAGTGGGGAGAGGGTCTCGGTATCGGGGTTCCATTTCCAGATGAGGATGTCGGGGGTTGTGGGTGTGGTGGGAACGAGTGCGTGGTTTTGGTCAGGGCTGGGGGGAGTGATGTAGAACCAGCCGCCGCTGCGGAGGGATAGGCTTTCCGTGGTGCCGGTGTAGAGGAAGTGCCAGCCTGGTGGGAGGTCCCGGATGCCGTGGAAGTTGGGGGTCGATGTGAAGGTGATGAGGTCGATGCCGACGAGGGTTTTCGGGGGGAGGTCCGGGAGGAGGATGGTGGGGGAGGGCGAGATCGAGGATGTCATGTCTGTCTGTCTGGGGATGTGGGGTTTGGTTCGTTCGTGGGTTGTGTTGTCTGGCGGGCTGTATCGTGTATGGTGTTCTCAGCGGTGGGAGGGGATGGTTTTGGTGGGTTGGTCGCGTCGCATGTGGATGGAAGAACGCGGGTTGTGAAGCTGACGTCAATTCACGAGGTGGGATGAGGATGGTGCTTGAAAGTAGTGAGGATTATGCGAAATCAAAGGAAAGTGGATGTGCTTGTTAATGACTGGCAATGATGCGCAGAATCTGAAGTGAAGAATTGTAGTAGGTAAAACCAGGTGTAGGTGATCGATAAAATGTGCTTATCTTAGCTAGTCTGCGGGATAGCTAACTACGGAGTATGCTGATTTAATATCCAGCATGACCCCGCTCTCCTCACCAGCGCTAGAAATGCTTACGTCCATGACGACACAACAATGTCGCATATTATGTATCCTACGTGTCTCCTCTACTGCATTTACAAGAATGATGTCCAGTTCTAGATCAGTGATATTGACCCGAGTAGCTGCCACAACGACAGCAAACTACCTAATGCCAGAACCGAAAAACACACTTTTGGGTATGTAATAAATTGAAGACCAGGCGATAAATGCCGTTCCTCGCGTTTATTCCATCCACATCCTGAAAACAAGGCGCGGTCCAACTGGAAGCCTCCATTCCAACCATGCGGAGAAAGCCCCGCACAACTTGGAAAAGATGAACCCGCACCTGTTTACAGACGACGACCACGGCGACCACCCTTACGACGAGTAGAGTCGGAGGGAGTGGGGGTGACGTCCTCGATACGGCCGATTCTCATGCCGGAACGGGCAAGAGCACGGAGAGCGGACTGAGCACCGGGACCGGGGGTCTTGGTGCCGTTACCTGTCGAGATCGATTAGTTGAATATTCGAGGTTCCTTCGGAGCATCCTTCACATACCACCAGTGGCACGGATCTTGATGTGGAGGGCGTTGATGCCGAGCTCCTTGCAGCGAGTGGCAACATCCTGAGCAGCCAACATGGCAGCGTAGGGAGAAGACTCGTCACGGTCAGCCTTGACCTTCATACCACCGGTGACACGGCAGATGGTTTCGCGACCACTGTAATCCCCTTCAGTCAGCCAACTGTGTCCTGCAATATATGCAACATTTCTTCACGATCTCCGACTCCGGGTTTATCGCTGGCGCAAAGTCCGCGGAGGAAGGATGTCGTAGAAATCGAAAACCGGGAAAAAAGTATGCGACGAACCTCAGATCGGTGACGTGGACGAAGGTATCGTTGAAAGAGGCGAAGATACGGGCAACGCCGAAAACGAGTTTGCCTGCAGTCCCCCCATGTTAGACAATGGCCTGGTGAAAATCGAACGGCTGGCAATGGTACATACCATCTCCGGCCAGAGGACCGAGAGAGACGTTCTCCTTGGCGGCAGCGGGGGCTTTCTTGGGAGGCATTTTGTCGACTTGCTGTGTAGTGGGATGGAATATGGAAAGGAAGGAAAAGGACGAAGTCGAGGCGCTTCAATCGGCTTGGATACAGAAAATGACTGGTGTGTGCCCTACCCACGGCGGCTCGACGTCTGATTGGCGGAGCGTCGATCGTCGGCCGTGCTCAAGCGAGTCGCAGCCTGAGGCACCCAATCGCGGTGACCTCTTTTTGACAGCCGTTGTTACATTACCGCGTCGGGTGGCAGTCGGCCCGGACTTGGTGTTCCCCAGCACTATTTAAAATTTCTGCTGCAACTCCCCGAGGTCAGACTTTTCTCTTCCCAATTATATCCAATCGGGCAGATAGCCGGACTTGGTGGCTTTGTCTCCTGGTTTATTCATTGGCTCAGTCGAGCGTGTTGCGCAGCCTAGCTCCTCGAAAACAGGACTGGACAAGGACTAATTCTTAGCCAGCATGGGCTTCACCAAGGAAACGGCCTCGATTGGCATTATCGGCATGGGGGACATGGGCAAGATGTACGCCCAGCGTCTGAGCGCAGCCGGTTGGAGGTAATACTTAATCAAGCGTCCCTCCCAGTCTTTGCCGACAACCACCCTAGCCGTTTGCTAGCTGTAATAGGTGAGCATCTCTCTTTTTCTTTCTCTCTCTTCCCCTTACCCTTTGGATGATGACTTGAGTGCATTTGGCTCGAGCATGACTTGGTGGTGAGCTTCCATACCATTCTGGTAAGGTCGCAGATCCGCCGGGTCGTCAATGATGTAAATTCTCAGCTACCTTTTCTTCATTTGTCTGAAACCAAAACAACCCTTCATCTTGTGATGACTCATTATATTGGTGCATTATGGGCTTGTGCTAACCATTCTGCCGATTAGGTTTTGCCTCGTATATTTTAGAACAACTGGACTGGATTAGCTGGACTAACTCTTTACTCTTACTTATTAAGGATTAATGCATGTGACAAACCCGACTCGTATGAGCGTCTTCAACAGGAATTCGAATCTCAAGTACGTCCTTGACTCGCAGCGAATGCTGTCCACACTTAAACTCATCTTTTAAATCAAAGCAAAATGTCACTATATTTCCCAATGGCCACCTGGTTTCCAGAATTAGCGATTACATTATTTACAGTGTAGAGGCGGGTGTGATCGACAAGGTAGTGGCTATGTATGGCCCATGTATGTCTCTTGATGCGAGGCTGCGCCCTTACTTGATGCATGATGCCTGTCTGACTCGTGGAAAGCTACCAAGGTCGGCGCGATTGTCGGTGGACAAACGTCCTGCAAGGCCCCCGAGCTGTCGGCTTTCGACAAGCACCTTCCCCAGGATGTAGAAATCGTATCATGCCATTCGCTCCATGGCCCTCAAGTCAACCCCAAGGGTCAGCCTCTGGTATGATGCTTGCTGAGCCCGGTCCGATCGCCCAGTATGATAACGCTGTGTCTAGGTCTTGATCCAGCACCGTGCTTCGGATGAAAGTCTCAACTTCGTCAAGGAAGTTCTGTCATGCTTCGAATCCAAGTTCGTCTTCCTGTCGGGAGAGATGCACGACCGTATCACCGCCGATACCCAAGCCGTCACCCATGCTGCCTTCCTTAGCATGGGAACCGCGTGGCAGGCAAACCAGCAGTTCCCATGGGAAATGTCCCGCTGGGTGGGAGGCATCGAGAACGTCAAGATCAATATCACGCTACGCATTTATTCCAACAAGTGGCATGTGTACGCCGGTCTCGCCATCCTCAACCCAGCCGCCAAGAAGCAGATCCGGCAGTATGCAGAGTCGGTGACCGATCTGTATAAGCTCATGATCGAGGGACGTCGAGACGAACTCAAGAGTCGAGTCAAGGCTGCAGGAGAGGCCGTTTTCAAGGCGGGTACGGATGGACAGGATCTCTTGTTGAAAGACGAAGTCCTCGATCGCTTCTCGCTCGGAAATCGGGCTCGTGAGGAGTCGCCTCCGAACAGTCATCTGAGTCTGCTTGCCATCGTTGATTGTTGGTCCAAGCTGGGAATTGTGCCGTACGATCATATGATCTGTTCCACACCTGTGAGTGCTTGAAATAAATCCTGTCCCCTGCAACGCAATTCAACGTTGCTTCAATTGACTAATCATGGCGTACAATTTGTAGCTTTTCCGTCTCTGGTTGGGTGTCACAGAATACCTGTTTCGCAACCCTGATCTCCTCGACGAGGCCCTGGACACTGCGGTCGATGATAAGACGTTCCGTTCGGATGACTTGGAATTCACCTTTGCAGCTCGCGTAAGTGTCAACTGCTAATCCCGGAAGCTAATGGCTACTTGTGATTTTGATACACGGACCAAAGACAAGGAAGTTCTGCTGTGCATGATCGCTGACGTCATTCAAAATCATATAGGCATGGTCGGACTGCGTCTCGTTTGGCGATTTCGAGTCCTACCGCGACCGGTTCGAGCGCATCCAGCAGTACTTTGCTCCTCGGTTCCCCGAAGCCGTCAAGCTGGGCAATGAAATGATGAAGACCATCCTGGAGAAGACTACCGCCAACAGCGCCTAGTTTAGGATGAAGAGATCGAACAATGAAATGGCTTCAAAGTCTAAAAATCATCCAAAAGTCGACTAGCGAAACCGGATGGTGCGTCTAGGTACCGGCGCCAGTTCGGGAGGGGCGCCATAATACGGAGTAAATAATAATAATAATGTGTAATAGGTAGCAGCTGGCTGGTGCCATGGATGGAACGAAGTAACGGCAGTGTTATCCCTTGGACTAATCACAATCAGGCGGGTAGGGACCCTGACTGACAGGTTCAAATGATGGAGCCTGGAGAGCCGTGGATTCTCGATACTGTACAGAGTATGGAATAATGACCCAAAATTAGCCTGTCAGCAGCCATTGTGCTGTCGTTGTTGAGTGTGGTTGGTATGTATTTGATGGGTATGCTCAGGCGCAGGAGTTCGCTCGCGCACGGAATCTCCCACTGTACCCTATGGGCTGGGCTTTATCCATTTAGGGCAATTCGCATACGTTTCACGGGTCCCGCGGAGCTATCACGACTCACCAGGCTAGTCTGCTTCGTATCCCGAGGTGCCAAAAATTTGGAAGTTCATGTCGTAGACCAATCTCGACGGGCTGATAGGTGGTCCACTGCCCGGCCGGCTAGTAGAAGGATGGGAAGTGTGCGCCCAATCCGCGGTGGCTAGTTGCTAGCAGGCTTGGAGGATGAGATCTCACATTACATGCATGGCCTACTTTGGGAAAACCAGTGGATGATCATATCCTGCATGTCACTCTCCAGCCCGCCACGGGTGGAGGAAATCCGCATTGCCGTGCCCATGGGTGCTGCCACGATAGGGAGGACTTTACTCCGTCCACCGGACCTTATCTATTGTTCTTCGTACGGGGCTAACGTATGTATCTCAGACGAGAGGTCAGATCTCGAAAGCAGGGGATTTGACAGTTATTTTCGTTTAGATACCGATGCACAGTGGTATCGACTTAGACACGAAACTTTTTATCCAGACCAGTACGCATGCCTGATGTAATGCACCGCAATTACTAGATGTCTAGCACCTTAGTCGGATAGTTTCGCATTGAGTACTCCGTACTGCATGACTGCCATCTGACGGGGACCGGCGGGGCCGTACTCTGGCGTATTTCCGTGTCATTATTTAGCCGGAGTTACGGAGTACATAGTAGGAACATTGCAATCCAGGCCATGGCGTTTCCTGTCCTGCATCATCAACTGCATGGCCATTGTCTTTCAGCCACCGGATGATGTAGTGGTTGGCATCAGAGTGGAGCATCACATGGCTGCACTAGTGTTTGCAAGGCAAAACTATTTTGCTTGTGAAGTGCTAAGAATAACCGAGCTGTGGACCGGCCGAGTCTGGAGGTGTCGGAGACCTGCCCCTTCTTCTGATTTTTGAAACCATGCTGCGCAAGCTTCTCCATGCCGTTTTAGGTCTGTATTCAGTGTGGGTAATCCGTGCTTCGAAGCACAAGCGGGTGTACGGACTGTCAGTCAACCATCAGAAAGATGGGCTGTAGGCGACGCGTGAGGAGTGTAAGGGTAAGGAGTATGCGTTCAATCATGAATGAACATTTTTTCCCTTTTGCCTCGAACCCCTTTATGAAGACAAGGTTAAGCCCAGCTTTCTCACCCAAGGTCGCCAGTGCTCCTAGTTCAAGAAGGGCAAAGCCATCGTCTCGAGACCTCACAATCGAGCGAGGAACCTCGCCCGTGGGCAGCCCGCAAAGTGTAAACGAAGGCCCGTCGGCCAGCTCGATTGTCTTATTGGTTCCGTTATCCCGTCGGCCCACCCCTGGTGAGAGCCAAACAACGCCATGGATGATCTGGATCGAATACGACGGCTTCCGAGATCCGAGAACTTGGTCTTAGCTACAGAGGGCGGATGCTGATTGGAAGCGGTGCCTTTCAGGATTCATGATGTGTCCGAAAAAAGTCGTGCGGATGGCCACTCTGCGCTTGGGACAAAAGGTCCATTGCGGAGTGACTTTGACGGCATTTGTGGGTTAGGGTCCTGGGGAAGTCCTAGAAAGCTTAGGTAGTAAGTACCGTACCGCGTCAGCCAGAATTCTGCGATTAGGGGAAAGGACGATCCCCGAGAGAGGAACTGGAAGGGCGAAAAGTGGAAACAACGGACGCACAAAGTACCATGTCGTAGCTTCCCTATTTATCTATCTAGTAGTACGGAGACCGGAGTACTTCCTAATCCTAGCTCATCCTTCCGAGAACTCCTACTCCGTTCCTGGTAGTGACAGTGTAGATTGTAATTTCTCACATTATCGTGGTCAGGATGACCCAGAGGCGAACCAAACGAAAGCATATTTGCTTAGACAGAACCTTCAAACGAAAAGAGGCGCGTTGCCGGGAGGCACCACTACTAGTCAATGGGAGGGTCCGAGGGGAAAAATTATGCACAATAAACCCAAAATAAAATAAAACAACAAAACAACAAAACGAATGGGTCTGGCTGCAGGCGGCAATCTGATTGATCAGCTGCTGTTCTCCGGCCCAATTGGCATGCGCCGTCCCCCGACGGTTGAAAATCATGGCCGGGTGCTGGATTCCTCTCCACTCTCCCTCCCCAAACCCATCCCCAAGCAAGCCAGGATCGCCTTCCTCCCGGGTCCAATGACTCTTCCGGATGGAGCAAGGCTAGTATGACAATACTACTGTGTAAGCACTCAAACACAAACGCAGACTGGTCCCAATTCCATGGATAGGATATACTCCGGCCAGTCAGGAGTCCGCTAGGCTAGGATGGGCAGGGAGTTGGGAGTTGGGACATTGCTGGGCTCTTGTTCCCTCCAATTCTTTTGCCCGGACACGACCAAAAAGCACAGACCATGTGGCCATTCCACTCCAAAATATGTCCACTGGCCACTCATCCACTGAGAGCCCCGAGAGGCGTGGCAGCTGAGGGAACTTTAAACCTGGAAAAAGCCCGAGGATTTTCGCCATGGGTGAGCTGAGGAAAAATCAAGGTACCCGCTTGCCTTGCGCGGTGGCATATCTATCTGACAATCGCCCAATTCGATTGACGATCTTCCCCTTTCATGGGCCCAATCTTGCTTCTTCACGCTGCTCGATCCGAATAGGCTCGATTGCCTTCACTTCAATTCAGCCCTTCTTTCCCCTGGCAGCGGTCTATCGGTTTATCGGAGGTATTCGCACTGATGGTAGCGTGATCTTCCTTCTCCTCATCGTCGTGATTGCCATGCAGATCGGTTGCATGACATCTGTGGCACAACACTATGTGGCTTAGGTTAACTATGCGCAACTTGATTCTTCATTGACTATAAGTATGAACAGCCCTTGTTTCACTTCCCTGATGCACATATGCTCCAAAAAGCTCTGCCAATGGCCTTGGTGGCGAACTCCCGCCTCGAAAGTCTGATGCTGGTCCATCGCCAGGTCGGGGGCTTTCGGTCTTGTATATTGAAAGAATGCAGTGGAGCCTGACAGAGCGCGGCGATGCTTCTCATTCCATCTACATATGAAGTTTAGGATTCCAGCAGCTAAGGTCTAATATCTGTACTTCTAGGAAGCTGTGACCACAGAGAGCAGCCCACGCTCGATTCTGGTAATACGCCATTTCAAACAGTCCTTTCATGATATTATCATTGTGATATCCTTTCTCTTGTACTGTTCGCGAAGTGGCTTGGGTCCGTTATCTCCTCTCATTTCCACAACATCTACACTGATCCGACGATCAATCGCCTATCTTTCCTTTCGTTTCCCTGTTAGCCATCTCATACGATCCTTAATACCTTCCAATGAAGTTATCAAAATTCATTGCTGCATCAGTGGGCGCATTTGGCTTGGGTAAGTTCGCCCTTCATTGTAAGACCGTTACACGTGCTGATTGACCGGATCTAGTGCGCTCAGGTTGCAGCCAAATACTCAGCCATAGGCCCTCTGAAGGTGCAGGTGTCTCCTACAGCATAAATGTACCTCAGAATACGTCGCTGTCAGGGTCTGGTCCCATCTTCCTTCAATTGAAGGCTCCACCTGGTACCAAATGGTTCGCCCTGGGTCAAGGGTCCCAGATGACGGATGGGAACATGTTCATTGTATACTCAGCATCCATGCACAACGTCACCCTGTCCACTCGGAGAGCAACTGGTCATGTAGAGCCGCTTTATGACCCGAGTATCCAAGCTCACCTTCTTGACGGGTCCGGCATCCACAATGGGGTGATGACCGCCAACATCCGTTGCGACAATTGTACAACTTTGATTGATGGGGAGAGTGCACTAGGGAATTCCAGTCCTTGGACGTGGGCATTGACGCATGGCCATCCGCTGATGTCCAGCAATTTATCTGAAAAGTTGTATCAGCATGACTGGCACGGTTCTTTCTCCTTGAATTTGACCCAAGCTGTTGGTGGTAACAATAGCAACCCGTTTATCGTTCCGATGCGGTCCTTGTTCGAATCATACGCCCACCAGCGGCAAGTCAGCGATACCCTTCTTCACAAAAAGCGAATCGCCCATGGCGTGATGACCTCAGTGGCCTTTGTTCTTCTTTTCCCTAACTTCGCCCTTCTTTTATACATTGTCCCGTCCCGTCGTACCGTCCCGTGGGTGCATGCCCCTCTTCAGCTATTTGCCGTGCTTTTGGCCTTGGCCGGGTTCGGGGTGGGGATTTCTGTCTCCAAAGATCTCCAGGAGATCGGTGGTTACCATCCGGTCATCGGTTATGTGGCGGTCGGTGGTGTTGTGCTCATCCAGCCACTCCTGGGCATTATGCAGCATCTGCATTTCCGCAAGACGGGAACGAGTTCGCTGTATGGCGTCTCCCACCGTTACCTAGGACGGTTTTTTGCTGCCCTGGGGGTCATCAATGGCGGAATAGGCTTTCATTATGCCACCGCCAAAAACCCCGATATCCCGCGAGCTTCTCCGCTCGCTTATGGCATCATATGTGGATCGATGTTTGTTATTTACGTCTCCGTCATTCTTTGGAGAAGGTCAAAATCGCAGGCGAAACCCTCGAAGGGTTACAGATTGCCATTCTTCGGATCTCGACAAGATAAACCAACTATCGCCACGCTTGATAACAGTAGCGACAATACACTTTGCGCAACTGATGAGGTTCAAGCGTCTCGGGAGAAGCCATGGCTGTCATGAAGGTTACACAGAATATCACGATCGTTAATAGCATTTTGTACTACCAAGCGTACATTATCGTTGGGGTTTGCATATCCGGAGTTCGTCCTACAGCCTACTCATTGCCTTTTACCTTTCATTCCTCCCCCTGTCCCCATGTAACATTTCATTGCGTCGCCACGAACTTCCCACTGTCATCCCCTCATTTTCTTAACCCGCATACATTATACTCCCCCAACCGAGATATACGAGGATCTCTGCCTATATTGGTCCTTCGTGGATCGGTATCGATCATGATGCCGGCTCCCCTGCCGTTGATAGTCTAAATAATCACGAACCATGGATACACGCCCCCTGATCATAGACATGTAAATCAGTATCGACTTTCGAGCTATCGAAAAGATCGAGGGCTAGCGGCGGGCCGCAGCGCAGCCTGAGGCGATAAGATCTGGTTAGTCAGCCGGGGACCAAGCCATGGATGAATCCAGCCTGAAACCACAGCGGTGGGATTGGAGAAGACCCCCGGTCATTGAAGCAGATTGCTTGCTTCCTGCTCCAAGCACCTAGCGTTGTCCTTTGCGGTCTGTGCTACATGTGATTTGGTTCTTAGACGCCTCTACGCCTCCCGACCATCCCCTCCTCAGCCTCACCACCATCCTTCGTGACCGTTTCCCCTCCCCTCCCTCCCTTTTGAGGGTGCCCGCCGTCAGCAAACAAGTCAGTCGAGAGCTTCCGGTTTACACCTTCCCCGGGCATTTTGGCGGTTCTGATAGCGCTCGTGATATTTTCAACGAACTCAATGCAGTCCTCCATCCCTCATTCCAATTGCGACAGGTGATACGCCCTCCTCTCTTGCGGCTAGATGGAGCTCTATGGCGTCCGGACATAACTCAGCGTTCTCCGCGACATCTATCCAGCACCGCGCTCTGGGTGATGGACGGTCCTATAACAGCTTGGATGATGGCCCCGCAGATGGTAGTTGGGCCGAGGCCGCTTCGAGAACTGGGCGAAATGCTCGCTCGGAGTCTGGAGGCAGCGCGACTATTGGTCTCCGGGGAGGGTCATTAGCCCCTTCTTCTGGGGCCCCTGGTAGCTTCAGCTCCGAACTGAAAAGCATGAAGACGTCGCGGAGTACTACCCCTCGACCGGATGGTGGCCCTGCGCGACGACCGAGCAGCTTCCTCGAGCACGATGATCTGTCCAGCACGGAGGAGCGCCAGGCCGTGATCCGGGACAAGATTGCGAAAGAGATGAAAATCAAGACGGGGACGGAAAACATGCTCGAAGCGCTTCTGGCGAAGAATCCGAAACATACAAAAGATCAGAGGTTAAGGGTGGAATCGGAGCTGAGTTCGTCCAACCGCAAGCTTGCCGAACTACAACATGAACTCGAGGAGGAGATGCTACGTGCGCAGGCGCCGTCCACCCCTCCCCGCAGTCGCCTCTCGAGTCTATTCCAAGGCGGTTCGATGCGTTCACCGACTCGCAACAATGTGACCCTCGATGACCACCAGGTCCAAGAAGGAGAAGCAGAAATGGAATCGCCGACGTACGTGCTTGCGGAAACACTACAAGCTCTAGAAATCGAGGGGATGTCCCCGGATTATTACGTTGAGCGTGCAAATAGCCTGGTGGAACTGTTCAAAAGGCATCCCACCCTGAAATATGACTTGGAGTGGTCTGTGTTCGGGTTACGCGTGCAAATCATGCTCTTGAGCGACAGCAAGGAAGCCGTAGCCGCCGGTTATCGTTTGACTCGGTATGCTATTGCAGATCGGAAGTCCCTGCAAATAATCCGGTCATTACATACCGATGAGCTGGTCATCTTGTCCCTTGTGAAAGAGAGCAAGGCGAGCATCGAGCGTGAACAGGCCTTGAAGTTTGTCAGGGCATTCCTCGATGTGAAGGATGGTGTGCATGAAATCTCGCGTGCCGTTGTCAGAACGATTGTCTCGGTCGCCGAACATTACGAGGACCGCCTGCGCAATATCTCCATCATGACGTTAGCTGAAATCTTGGTCAAGGACCCGGCACTAGTTGCATATTCTGGAGGCTTTGCTACCCTGCATGATGCCCTAGCAGAGGGGACTTTTGGCGCCTCGGAGAGTCTGATCGCGAGCTTTCTTCATGTTCTAGACACCCCTCACAGCAGGAAGCATCTTCGAGGAGGTTGTGAGCTAGAAGCTGTTCTCGCCCCGTTTACAGACTCTTTATCGGACTCTGTCCGCAATGGGCGCCTTAAATCTTCGGCCAGGGCGATCTCTGCCATGCTCAAGACATGGCCTGGATTGATCGTGCTCGCAAGAAATGGCGCAAAGCCTTTACAGTCACTTTTGGACTCGCTACATTACCCTGACCCGCAGGCAAGGGATCTTATCATGGAGCTTTTGTTCGATGCCTTGAGGATAAAGCCGCCTTCATGGTCATCGTCGTTTCTCGCTGGTCGGAGACTTACGACTTATGGAAGAGTGGCTAACCTCCGGACTGAGACGGATCCCAAACACGTCCGAGGCTTTTTTGACGACGATGGGAATAGGTTCGACCTGACAGCGCATTTCTCGACATTGATTCTTGCCACCCTTGTGGACGCAGGATTGTCCAAGGTCAGTCTTGGTGTTTCGGGTCACTATACTATGCTAATATGATGCAGGCTCTCTCTGATCTTATTGAGGATGAAACGGATCTGTCTCTAAGACGGAAGGCAACTCTGCTCCTAACTGAAGTCTTGAAGCTGGCACATCACTCTCTACCTCAGCATATCAGCGCAAAACTTCAGGTCCTTCCGCACCTGCTACCAGCCGCCATCAAATTCGATGTGGAAAATCACGACGTCTCCACTTCAACGATCTACCAGATCGAGAGCATAAATAGGACGTTGGCCCGCTCCGTAGGAGGCGTCTCCAATGGGGCTCAACGTTATAATGTCGACGTTGACATTTCTGCCTCTCTTCTCTCTGGCGACCAAGGCAAGGAGAAAATGAACCCTGCTATGGATGAGACTCAGTTTCGAAATGCGATCCTGGAGACGCATGTTCTAAATACCGTGAACTATCTCAAGTGGAAATGGGACTTGATCCATCGCATTGTTGAGGGTCCTCTGACCAATCCCAAGAGGCTGGAGGAAGCCATTAAGGGCTCAAAGTTCATGAAGCGGCTGATGGGTTTCTACCGGCCATTTAAGTATAGGTTCTCCATGCTGCCAAATACCAAACCGAACCAACGTTACGTCCGAACGGGTTGCGCGTTGATGCGCACACTGGTGCAACTTCCAGAGGGCACGAAATATCTAGCTGAGAACAAGTTTCTGAGGCAGGTTGCGGAGTGTCTTGCTCAAGTCGATCGTATGAGCGGATTGACATCGTCCTCGCCCCTATTCTCAAGAGAACAGATGGCCAACACGTCAAGTGGCGGATATTTTGCTATGCTAGGAGTCCTCAGTGGCGATGCGAACGGCCTCGCCATGATGGAGCGTTGGCACATGCTCAACATGTTCTACCATATCATCGAGCTTCGGGATCGAGACGATCTCATCCAGACCCTGCTCGGTAACATGGACTATGCCCAAGAAAGCCACCTCAGGGTCATCCTATCCAAGGCCCTCACCACTGGCTCCAAGGAGATTCGAATATTTGCGACCAAGCTCCTTAGAAAATATGCGGTGGGAAATGTTCCTCTTTCCTCTCAGTCACCCACTGGCAATGCGGATTGGGTGGTCAAGCTTCTCGTGACACAGCTGTACGATCCCGACGTGTCTGTCTGTCAAGTAGCTGTGAAGATTCTCGAGGAGGCATGCAACCAGCGTCACTACCTTGAGTTCGTGGTCAAGTGCCGGCCTTCCCTCGATCATCTTGGTGAAATCGGCGCGCCCCTGCTCTTACGGTTCTTGTCCACTTCGGTAGGATACCACTATCTAGATGGGCTTGACTACATCACACAAGAGATGGATGATTGGTTCCTGGGTCGTAACGACGCATACGTGGGACTGGTCGAAGCCGCGCTTTCGCGTGCCTACGTGGATCAACCGCGCAGAAGTAGCTTTGTGCCCGAGGACCTCGTGGATCTGCAGGATATTGGGCTGGTACCACCCCATTTCTATAGAGAACTCGCTCGAACTGCAGAGGGATGCAAGCTTCTGGAGCAGTCAGGCCACTTTAATGAGTTCGCGTGGACCATTCGGGATTTTCAGCTGGATGAAGAAGACACAGAGGCACTTCTCAAAGTCAAAGGCTGCCTTTGGGCCGTTGGCAACGTTGGATCCATGGAACTGGGGGCGCCGTTCCTGGAGCCTGACATTGTCCAGCATATTGTCAAAATCGCTGAGAGTGCAGAAGTTCTGACGATGAGGGGGACCGCATTCTTCGTGCTGGGCTTGATTTCTCGCAGTCGACATGGTCTCAAGGTCTTGAGAGATTTCGGATGGGACTCTGCTCTCGACCACAAGGGAAACTCTTTGGGTCTAAGCCTTCCGACCGACTTCAACAAGCTCTTTCTGGTATGGTTAGCATTCACCGGCATCAAAGTACAAGTCATTAACCGTCTTGCCTTTCCAGGTCGATTTCCCGAGCCACTCTAGAAACCCCGAATCGAAGCGCACGTCTCAAGAGAAATTCAAAGGAGCGGCTATGGATCCAGATCCGAGCAACCAAAAGATCCTGAAGTTGATTGTCGACATGGGGAATACGGTTTTGTCCAAAAGGGCTGCGGCAGACCTCCATAGGTAAGCAATATGCGCCGTTGATTGCGTCTCTATCCAAGGCTAAAGCAGTTGAATTCACAGCATCAAGTCGAAACAGCCCGACCGGTTTCATCAGCCTCACCTTTTCCGCAAGACCCTCAGCATCCTTGAGAGCCACCATTTCCGATTGCCTGCTCGCCGCTTTGCTCTGGACCTCTTTGACAAGAGTGTAATGCGACGCATAGTCTTGGACGACGATTCCGATTCCGAGTCGGAGGCGTCATCTTCCCAAGTATCAAGCTGATTGTGTTGCCGCCCCAGAGGCTAGGCCACAGGGTCGACCTTGCATTTGCTCTCGTCTTGGAAATCTTCTTTCTCAGCCACCTTTCTTTCTGTCTTCTTGGCTATGGCGTTGGATGGTTCCGGTCATGAGCAACGAAGGATGTTAGCATATCATGTTCTGCTCTTCTACCTGATTTTCCGGCCGTTTGTGTCGGGACCCGATACCTTTATCTTTTTGCCTTGCTTGCATCAGATGAGAGTTTCATCATGGGTCTGTGGAATTCTCTATCCATTATCGCTGTCTTATGATGAATGCCCTGCCTCTGGCACATGTACTGTACATACATAAACACTTTATCGATGTCCATGGAGATTACCAATCGCCGTGCGTAATGGCTCATCGTAGGTTTGATGCGTGGTCCATTGTGTGGAAGCGATCTCACGCCGGCCTCCTGAACCTCGGATGCCGAACGGAGCTCGAACGCTCCGGCATCGAACCAGCTTGTCCCCGCCCGTCAGCAAAACAATCCCAAGCATTCCTCTCCTGCGAAACCCTTCAGCTACCTTTCATTCCTCTGCTTATCATTCTTTCAACGATTCGGACTGGATATTTCCCTCCATGGAAGATGCTAGCACAGCCAGTTCTCCGCCTCCTCCGCAGGCCCGGGAGATTCTCTCCGCGGCCGCGACCGCGCTGAACTCAGACGAGACCGATGACAACCAGCTTCCTTTGCCCGCACATTCCGTCATCCGACTTATCCAGTGTCCGCGCTGCTCCCTACCGCTACGAACGCCGCTGCGACTCCCATGTGGAAACACAGTCTGCAAGTCGTGTCTCCCGCCGATCCGTCAACGGACGGGAATTACGTACCCGGCGAACGATGAACGGAAGGAGGGATTTACATGCTACTGGGGAGGAAAGGACACATGCTCTGGTGAGCATTGCCTCGGGGACTGTGGGACAGACGTCTTGTTGAGCAAACTGGTGGATGTGTTCGAGGAGGTGTTGGCGAACCGCGGGGCCACCCCGGACACTGTCGATCCAGACGCGGGGTTCTCGTTGACATGGAGAAGCTCACTGGAATCGACCCCTATGAATGCTAGAATTGGCTGTGATTTGTTGGGTGGTGTCTACGACTTGGTTAAGCAGGGTCGGTTTGACTACAATGCGTCGGACGTGGGATATGCGCCCGAGGACTCTGTACAGCAGGGGGTTGGACAATCTTTTGGAAGGCTGAGAGAGGCTGTGCGGAATGAGTTGGACTGTCAGGTCTGCTACTCACTTATATTGGACCCATTGACGACCTGCTGTGGCCATACGTTCTGTCGCGGGTGTGTTGCAATGGTCCTGGATCATAGCGATTTGTGTCCTCTTTGCCGACGCAAGTTGAATATGTCTTCCACTGTGCGGTCTGAACCGATCAACAACAGGGTTTCGGAACTTGTGGAGGCTTTGTTCCCTGCACAGATTGGGACGCGTCGGGAGGGATATACTGAGGATGCGACTCGAGAGGATAAGGAGCGGACAATTCCTCTATTCGTGAGCTCGCTTTCGTTCCCGACCATGCCGACTTTCTTGCATATCTTTGAGCCGCGGTACCGAACGATGATCCAACGAGTGATGCGAAGCAGGGACAAGAAGTTTGGTATGGTCATGTATAATCGCTCTGGTCGGCTGCAGCAAGGTCTGGGAAGGGCTCAGTTTATGCAGTATGGTACGGTGCTGCTGGTGGAACGCTTCGAGCTGCTGCCCGACGGAAGGAGTCTGGTGATCGCTTCTGGGGTCTCGCGCTTCAAGGTCATCAGTTTCGAGATGTTGGACGGCTATCATGTTGGCAGGATACAACGAGTGGACGATATCCCGATATCTGAGGAGGAGAGGCAAGAATCCTTGGAGACGTCTACAACTAGCGAATTGCCATCTCCAAGTGTTGATGCTGCCAGTACAGCCCCGGAGCGTCTGCCAACGCAGCAGCTGTTCCAGATAGCGTTGGATTTTGTCGAAAAAAATCGCCGCGAGGGAGCAACATGGCTCCATCAACGTGTTCTGCTAGCGTACGGCGAAGCTCCTACGGATCCCGCTCTATTTCCCTGGTGGTTCGCCAGCGTTCTGCCTCTCTGGGAAGACGAAAAGTATCATCTCTTATCTACAACCAGTGTCCGGGAAAGGCTAAAGATGGTTGTGCGGTGGGTGAGGAAGTCGGAGTCTCGCGAGTGGTAGGTAGAGGTCTGCTCACTTTCGCTGTGATTATCTTCTATATCCTTTCCGGCGCTCACCGTTTTCTTGACAAGGTTGGCTCGCCCCCGGCCATCATTCGCCTCGGTCTTATGACTAGCCGTCCCTCTCCTCATCTTTTCCCTTGTGCCGGTGCTCCTGGGCCCCGGCCTAAGGTACCTGTCACCGTCTACGGGGGTCTTCACGTCTTTCACGCCGTTCTCCATGTCTGTCTCCATTTCTTTTGGGTCTGCTCCTTCCCCAGCATCTGACGGCCGGCACCGGGCGCAGAATGAGGAGTCGGAAGCGTATATACCACAGACACTTGTTTTGGGAATCTTTTTGGCCCTTTTCGCGACGCAAATGGCCATCAATGTTGTCCAAATTCGGCGAGCCAGGCGGCGTGAACCAGTAGCAGCTCGACAGGAGACGCCGAGGGAGCTACAAGATGAGGTAGAGGGACGAAATGCGGCACGTGTTGAAGATACGGGGTGACTTTGAAGCTATCTAGGACGCTGATGATGTACAGGCAGTTGGTTTATTTACTAGGGCTGCGCCGGTTTACAACTAGCTCTACACGGCCGTCTGTTAGCCACTGATCTATCAGCCATCGAGCTTAGACCACTGGCGGGCAATTTCCCCTCCACCTATCACCCTCAGGAAAGGGATGAAGAGGCGTCGACCTGTCCCGGCTAGGGATTGTCGTTGCTAGAGCCATAGACCTTGAAGCCAATCTTCCCATTGTGCAGGGTGAGCCGGATACCCCTATCTCGTAGAGGTCGGTGCGACTCCATATCAACCCGCGATCGGCCGATGTTAGGGTCGCGGGAACTTACAGCTCACTGCAGATAGAGGGCCAGCAGGAGGGGAAGGTTCAGGCAGCGGCTTGGGATTCCATGCATGTACTTGGGATAGCATCTTGATGGGTATCCATGTGGGAGAGAGAGCACGTAGCGATGTATATGTAGGATGAACTGCGCCTTGGGAGCGCACCGCAGCGGCATGACGCCGCTAATGGAAACCTGATAAGAGAGCAATGTTGCCTAACTGGCAGGGATTGAGCCCCCGGGTTGCAGTGGTAGGAGCAACGCTGCAGGGATGTTGGCGTCCAAGCTCTGACTTGTCCAACGCCATGCAGCCATGGTGCGGTCGTTTGCCGCAGGGAGCTCTGGTTGGTGGCCGTTGGGTCGCACAAGCGCTGCGGTTGGGAGCTCCGACGCCAGAAATCCCAGCGCGAACCTTCGTAGGTGCCAGGAGGTGCCAGGAGGTGCCAGGAGGTGCCAGTGGCTTCTCCCACTGCTTGCCTCGTCGCTTGCCTGTTCGGGTGCCATTGGATGCTGCTCCCCGTGCGTTGGCCCATCATGCCCCCCGGCGCCTTACCTTCTTCTCCCGTCGCTCTTCATCTGCAATCTATCCGTCGTTGCGTCGGGTCTGCAGTTTTCTTCTCTTCTGCAAACCTTACCGGTCCTGCTCAGACCCATCAAGCTTCACGGTGAGTGCGATACTCCGAGTGCGGGCTGCTTCGGGGGATTGAGAGTTGAGACCGTCCAGCAGGAGAGGACGGGCGATGAAAAAAGAATTCAGAAGCATGCAGAGAGCCATGAGAAAGAGGAAAAGCAGAAGAATTACTGGGGTCCATCGCGCCTGCACCATGGATCCAGAGTGACCTGAAATTGGAGATATCACCTTCCTCCCCTCGGCCTCTCCTCGTTTCTCTCGTCTCCTCTTCTTCATCCTCTGCCATCCTCCAGCTGTCGCTGGCCTGCCGCAGTGAAGGCCTCCTAGGCTAATTAGCTTCTCACAGAGTATTCACATGTCTTTCACATCAGGTAAGTCCAGCTTCACCATCAGTTGTGGTTTTCAACTGCGGCACAGGTGATCGTCGGACCTCTACTAAACAACCCCACACCAGGTTCACAAACTATGTCGTCGTATGCTCCATATGGAGGCCAATCCAATCGGTACACGCCGAGAAGGTGAGTCTGGTGATCTCAGTGCTTTCATTCTGTTGGCGACATATCATGCCACTTTTTGGCGTTGGTGATCTATGAACATCTGACTGACTGGCGTCTACACAGGCCGTACGCGGTGAGTGACCTCATCTACGGAATAATGTCGACTCATCCACGGGCTGATATCATGAGCACATTAAAATCCAGAAACCCCTGGGCCGTCAAGATTTCCGGTCAAGTACAGAGACTGTCACAATCCCCCGCTCAGAGTACACCCGTCTAGTGAGTGCAATGTGACAGGTCCAAAATGGCCCCTCACTAACGAGTACAACTCAGCTCCAAGACGCACAACATTTCTGTACGCTACCATCGCTGATACTCAAATCCTTGACTGCTGACACATCTACCAGTGAAGTTAAGGGATTCGCTTCTGACTGGAGGACTGTCGCAGGAGACTCTTGATGTCAGAACACTCCACCAATTGGCATGCACTTACTGACCTTTCCAGATATTAATCTACGGGACTGCTCACTTGAAATCACAGCGGCAAAATGATGAGAACCTTCCTGTATCCCCTCCTAAGTCCGACGAGACCCTCGAGGGGGGTACTACGGGCTGTCAGGAACATACAGAGGCGGCGTACCGGAACGCCGATTTCGACGACAATGAAGATGGGCATGAGGATGAAGAGGCTCTGCTGGATCCTCAGGGCAGCGAAGGAAAGGACGATTATGATGAGTCTTCTAGAAGCGCAGGATCCTCTCCTACTCCAGGCGCTCAACGCACCGTGATGATTCGGAATCTCCCAGACCGCGTCACACACAGAGACATCGTCGAAGCTGTAAGGGGCGGAGCCCTACTTCACATCTACCTACGAGCGCGAGAGCGCATTGCGAGTGTGTCATTCGTTGAAGAAGTCGCTGCCCGCGATTTTCTGCTGCATACCAAGACCTACGGTCTCTACATGGCTGGAAAGCGCGTAAGTACCCACTCAGGATTGGCCAGCGCCGCTAATTAGGCAATCACCACAGGTGGAAGTGGGGTGGAATGACCGACAGTTCTATCTTCCTCCATATGTTAGGGTCAAAATCAACAATGGCGCGTCGCGGAATCTAGTCATCTACAACGTACAGCCCAACGTCACCGAGTGGGTCATCCGGAAAGATCTGGATCATATCCACAATCTAATTGTAATCTCGGTGAAATTTAAGAACGGCAATGCCTACATCTCCACCAATTCAGTACATAATGCGCTTTTTGCACGTTCCTGCATGATGTCTCGGTTCATGTACAAGGGGATGAAGATTGGATTCTATGCCGATGAGTGTATGGAATCTCCGGCCAAAAGTGCCAAGAAAGAGCCACAGGCACCGCCCAAGAAAGCGGCTCCGGTGAATCGCTTTCAATTGCTGTCTCTCGACGGGGGTGAGGATGATGATGATCATGCCAACCATAATGGGTTGGGGATGAACAATGGCATGCGATGGGCCGACAATAGCGTTTCGGCTTAACCTCTCTTTGTACTATCGTTGCACCGTTCTGCGTTCATTATCAGTTGGACTGCGGGTTTATCGGACTAGGCCTGGGAAATTGCTACAATGGGATGCGCCGGATTAAATCGGCAAATCTGAGATATGACCGCTGAGGATAGGGTGGGGCTTGATGGCCATGGAACGGCAGGGTCTACAGAGAACGACTAGATGCTCGCTAAATGCTACCGGCATCCCGTATCTCCGATACATCAATCATAGATAGACGTCATGACAAAAAAAGAAATTGGGTGATTGAGATAGTCCAGGCCTATACTAATTCCAGCCTAAGACCGAGCCAGCATTGCACCATCATTTCCATACAACCACTGTAACAACCCAAACCTTCCTCTATGAATGAATTGCCAGTGGCGGGATGGGACCACCACACCAGATCTCTCTCCACCCCAGTAGTACACCGTTAAGACGACACCATCCTGCGAAAGAATCCACGCGCCACGGCCCTCGTATGCGGGAGAATAAGGAAAAAGAATAAACTTTTTGAACGACTCGAGCAGCGACCCGAACCGGAGAGCATAGCCAGGAGGGCCGCGAAGCGACGACGGATAAATCGACGGCAAGCCGTTTAACGGTAGGACTTCTGGTAGCGGGCACGGGCACCACGACCACCGAACTTCTTGGGCTCCGTACGACGGTTGTCGGCAACGAGGAGTGTGCGGTCGTACTGGACAAGAGCCTGCTTGAGCTGGTTCTTGGAGTGCTCATCGACGTACTTCTGGTAGTAGGCGACGATGGACTTGGCGATGGCCTGACGGATGGCGTAGACCTGGGAGGTGTGACCACCACCGGTGACGCGGACACGGATATCGACACCGGAGAACTTGTCGGCTCCGACGATCAGAAGGGGCTCGTAGACCTATGACAGTCAATCCTGTTCCTGTTGCCTTGCTTTGCATCGGTTGGTGGTGGTGTGTGTGTACCTTGAAGCGGAGGATCTCAGGCTGGACCAGAGAGAGGGGCTGGCCGTTGACCTTGATGAGACCCTTGCCTTGCTGTTTGGATATTAGTGTTGTTCTTGGTGATGTAATTTGCGATGAGTGGATGCGGTGTCGTTCGGTATCCTCCTCCTTCTTCCACCTTGCCAGTGTTTCCTTCTCGATGTGTTGATCGCGATTCGATTTGTCGTCCATTTCCATCTTCCTTCAATCCATATCCCTTCCGTAGTATTCCATGTCGAATCCCCATCCCAAACTCACTCACAACGCATAAACCCGCCCAACCCGAACGACACTCGCATCCGCAACATCAAAATATCACTCGGAGATATCAAAATCTCATACCTTGCAGTGGGCGACAGCAGTAGCTATACAACCATTAGCATTGATTCAGTCATCCATCCCATTCCCCGTATCCGCATATCCGCATATCCCCATATCCCAATCCACCCATCCAAACATATCAAAAACCCCCAAGGGAGGGAAAAAAAAAAAAACTAACCCGTCTTCTTCTTGCCGAAGCATTGCACACTCGGAACGGAAGCCATAATGACAAGTGTGTGCCGTGGGTGGTGGGAAGTAACGGTGGTGTGTAGTGTCGGATGTCGTTGAATTTGCTTGCTGGTCGTCAAATCGATTAATTTTCGCTTCCGGGGCGGGCAAACTCGCGGGCGGTGGTGGTGGGTGGTGGCCTCGCTATCACCGTGCGGACTGGCCTTCGCTTAGTCTCTCGCGCTAGGCGGTTTTCGGCGGGCGGTTGGGTAGGGCTTGCGGGCTGGGATGGGAGGGTCACGTGAGGAAGTTCCTGCTCCGAAGCTTTGAGATTCGGGGTGCTGGGATGTATGGAGTAGGTGGTTGATATCATACTTCCTTTAGTCTAGTTAAGGTTGGTTGTTGGTTCAAGATGTCGTCAACGGTTGGAAAGGTATGTCATCTTTCTCTTTTCTTCTTATTACTTCATCTCCCTTCTTCCCATCTACCTCGTTTCACCTCTCAATCCAATATCAAAGCCAAAGCTCATGCTCATGCTAATGCTCACTTGAATCTATGATAGTCTCGTCTCGCCTTCTCCCGAACATGGCACTACGTCGACGTCGGCAGTGACCCTCGCAGTCTAGGTCGGGTGGCCTCCTCCATCGCCCTGACCCTCATGGGCAAGAACAAGCCCATCTATGACCCTTCCACGGACTGCGGCGACTACGTCGTCGCCGTCGGCTGTCACGATCTCCGCGTCACCGGCAAGAAACGGTTCCAGAAGAAGTACTACACCCATAACACTCGGCCCGGTAGTCTGCGCAGCATGACCATGGACAAGATGTTTGAGAAATGGGGTGGCGGGGAGGTGCTTCGTCGGGCTGTTCGGGGGATGTTGCCGAAGAACCGGTTGAGGGATAAGAGGTTGGCGAGGTTGAAGAGTATGTTCTTTTTTTTTTTCCTATCTTTTCTTTTTATTATATGTGTTTTGGCTTTGGGGGTTGGGTTCTGTTTGAGGGATGAAGGGAGATGCTAACGGTAGTAGCTTTCGAAGGTCACGCGCACCCCTACAAGGAGAATATCGTCAAGATCAACGGACAGTCGGTCATTGGAAACCTTCCTGAGGTGAAGGAGGCGTTCAAGGCGGCTAAGTCGGAGGCGGAGACTTCGGCTTAGGTGTCTTGTTGTCGTCGCTTGCTATTGCGGTATCCTGTACTTTTACCTATCATTGATATTTGTTCTCTGTCTGTATGACTTGCTAGCGCATGGGTGGGAGTTTTGTTCTCTTTTTTGTGTGATATATTACCAGCTACAACATTGTCTTTTTACTTAGGGATGTATGATGTGTCTACTTGATCTGCGCTGATGCAATTGTATCATAAAGTGATATGCTATACCCTAACTAAGACCTATATACATGTGCCAGAACTCCATTTCGATGCAGAATCAATACCCTACAGCTTGGCTTTGGTGTTGCGGCCAACGGTGCACTTGATCAGCCCGTTCGGGTTGGTCTGTGGCGCATACACCTCAGCGTCCTTGCCGGTGTTCTTGAGACCCTTGTGCCAGCTCAGGTCTGTCGCAGTGTTAGCAGGATCCGGACTGGATTGCAGAACAAAGGTAGCAACGTACCAACTTCAAAGTAATGCTTGTTAGGCAAAGAGTACCCGACCGTCTCCAGCAGAGGCTGACGGTCCAGGATCTGCTCCGCCATCTTATACATCGTGTTCTGCACACTAGCCGAGTTGTCCTCGGCGAAAGTCTTGAGGGTGATATCCCTCGCAGCAGTCCAGGTAGCATCGAACTGGGGCACGGTAGCGCGCACCTCATCCAGGCCGCTGAACCGACGCCACTGCCAGCTCGCATCCACGTCGGTGCTGAGAATACGATCCCACGTCTCCGGGAGGGTGGTGTACTCGTCACGCACGAAGCCCCAGAACTGCGAGTTGGTGCTCTTCAGCACGGTCAGCTTGGCCAGGGACGAGGTGATGTCGATGCCCTTGCCCTCGACGGCATCAACCTGGACGTTGCGGGTCTCCTCGCCATCGCGGAGGAAGGAGTGCGGGTGCGGCTTGCCGTCGATGGTCAAGCGGGTCCAGCGGTGGGTGATGATGTGGACGTGGGCAGCGTGGATGTGATTGTATTTTGTGATGAAGTGGTTGCCGAGGATGGAGCCGAAGAGCTCCGGGGGAGTAACGGGGTTTTGCTTGGCGGTGATGTAGATGGTGTTTTTGATGGAGTCGGTTGCGACGACCACGCTGTTGTCGGCCTTGGTGTAGCTGCGAGATGGTTAGCTCTGGGGATGGGAGAAATGGTTGAGGAGGGGAATCATACGAGGTATCAATGTCACCCTCCAGCAGAACGCAGACGGTCATCTCAACAACCGTCTGGACGCCGATCTTCTCATCGCGGTGGACCTTGTATACCCGGACATTGTCCTTGCCGTAGCGGGCCGCAGTGACTGGGGACGACATGGTGAGGATGGAGAAGGATGAGCGAAAATGTTAGATAGACAGTACTCTGCACAGACAGAAAGGATATGCGCAGGCAGTCGAGCAGGGATGAAACTTTTTAAAGCCACCCCCGAGCCAAAAAGCAGTCCCGGATGGGGAGAGGCAGGCTGTCGGCCACCTCCGAAGCCCGCGGGTCTGGACGGCCGCAGCCTTCCTCGCTTTATCTTATCGCCCCGGGATTCGTAACCTGGAGTATGCAACCATCAGGCAATCCCGTGGCTTATAGCTCTGCTCGGAACGCGGAGGTCCCCAGTCGTGGAATGATGGGAGGGAGGAGATTCTGTGTCAGATGTGAGGTACGAAGCGAGATGAGGTTAAAGTGAAGACTCTCGCAGCATCCAGACCATGTGACTGTGACTGTGCAGACGTCACCACTCCGCACAGCTCAATCCACAGAGCCATCCTCCGTAATGTCACCTTGCAATACAGAGGCCGGGGTTTGCTGTTAGGGAAAGGAGCATACCCCGGTGAGCTCATTGAAGATCTATTCTCTGGCACGATCGTGTCCCACGGTGCAGGAACCAGCCAGTCAGGGGGCAACGATGTACATGCTGAATCTCTCAGCCTACATTCTTTAGCATACCACGTGGTGGTCCATTCTTTCTCTGCGCAGTTAACTAGTAAGCAACCATGCAATTCCCCATTCAAGCCACCGTCTAACTCAGATTGTCCAGTCAAGCCTACTGCCTTGTCGACTACGCCAGTACCTCCCCTCCACAATCACCATGACCTACCTCCTTAGTCGAAATCCTCATCTGTGAATCCGCTGTCGCATTCATCTGCTTGGGATGTGATCGACAACGCCCCCACGCGCCGACTCCCAGGCCTCCTCGTCTGAATCCTACTCGGCGCACCCACGCCCATACCTCTCGCGCACACTGCTTTCCTCTTGGTATATGGTTGCCTCCTAGCAGGTGGCCTAAGTGTCATGGTTTTGTGGGTGGGCTGGGATGGGGGCACAGGGGAAGAGGCTACTTGGTGGTGGTAGAAGGAGGTAAGGGGGTGGGTATGTAGGAAGGTAGATAGCATGAGCAGTAAAGAGGTAAGTGAATTATAACTACTAATCCTCTAGGTCCATATCGGTCCATTGCATGTCATGAAGATTTTGTATCATATCATAATACAGCACTCGAATCTAACTCCCCATTCATCAACACTCAATCAACCACCTTTTATCGACAAGAAAAACGCACCACACAAGAGGATTGTCTTCATATACAATTCCATCAATCCAACACAATATGTGAGCGGAGCGGAGCGAAGATTCATCAAATGAGCAATCGTAGTAAAAGCAAACGTTTTCTGTTCCATCCAGCCATCCCAATCATTCCAAGAGAAACGCCATCAAATGCCCTAATCGGACGCCAGTAACCCCACTTACAGGGGAAGGAAAGAATACCACCCGAACACCATAATCCCGGATATAAGAACTTGCACACGCAGACAGACAGAGAATCACAGACTCAGCTGATCAATACTGCCCACTCTACCACTTCCACCTAGCCGACCACCACCCTTCGTCACCATCCCTAAACGGTAGAACCGCTCCTCGCCGCCCGGCGTTCGCCCCCCAATATACCACTTCTCCGGACCCAGCGCATCGCGGAACCCTCCCGAGCCGCTGGAGCTGTCGCTGCCGCGCCGTTGGCGCCCGTGGCTGTTTGTGATGGGGATAGGGTTCGATGCGGCCGGGGTGGGCGGGGAAGAGGCCGCCTGCTGGGTTGGCCCCGCTGGTGGCGGGGACCCGGGGGTCGACTCGGGCTGGTTGAAGGAGGGCCGGTGGTGAGAGTGTGGTCGAGAATGCGAGGAGGGGGTGCTGGTGGTGGAATGGTGGTAGTGATGAGTTGTGGTGGAGGGAGAGGCGTCCGAAGAGGAAGTATTGCCGCTGGCCTTGGTGGCTATGGCTCGCGCGCCTTGGGAGATCTGGGTCGAGGATAGCGAGGAAGAGGGACCGGCGGTGGATTGTGAGCCTGCTGTTGAGGCTTTGTAGGTGGACTGGGCTCGAAAAGCCGCCAGGAAGTTGGCCAGAAATGGCCGGTTGCTGGACATGGTGACGAGGGGGCACACTAAGATGGAGACTGACAGGGGTACGCTAGTCGGGAAGGACTAGGGCCTGTAGTCGGTCAAAAGGCGCCTTCCGACGTGAACGTATAAGTTACGGGTTGCTTTTGTTGAGAGGGGTTGAGTGAGGGGATCCAAGTGCGGTATATAGAGTGATGTCGGTCGTCGGTCGTCGGTCGAGGCCGGAGCGACGGTAGCCGCGGAGTCGCGGAGACGAGATCTAGACGGGGTCTGAGAGGAGAAGGCAGATGGAGGAGGAGAAGGCGAGCACAGACAGTACCATAGATGACTGCAGGAGGGGACGGACGATCGGAGGCAGAAGGAGGGAGGCGTAGTGGGAAACGATGACGAGGGAGCGAAGATGCGAGGCCAACCTTGGAGTGACCCTAGAGGCCCTCCGGGGCGTCCCGTGGGCGGCGGCCAATCAGCGGGGGTGGATATCAATCCGGGGCAGCCCCTCGGCGGCCGGCGGTGACGTTATAGTACGGTTCGAGGGATCATATACGGAGTACTCCGCATAGTTGATCGATATGATCTATCCTGATGGACTTCATAGTATCCCTAGAATCCTCCAGGCAAGCCATGGAGTTGACTTGAACCCCAGGGATCTCATCAGAGTGGACCAAGAGATCTCCCATTCTGCCAGGAATCTCTCTACACGAAGCACATGCAAACTCCTACTACCATCACCTGAAACGGGGTGCCGGTCGGGCTAACCAGCCAGCGTTCACCGTAGGGAAATCCCGGGTTCCCCAGCCCTCCCCGCCCCGGACCAAAGGCTGGCTCGGTCGGGGAGGCCGGTTCACTGTTCACATGGCCTGCCTGCATCCTTTGTCGTCGACATCTACAACTACCCTGGTCGCCCCCAACACCAGCTGGAACATCGGATAATGGCCCTTATTATTTCTCGTTCAACTCCGAATCACGGACTGTCTATATTCTAGCTTTTGATCCCCCATGGCTTCCCATAAGTGACGTTTCCACCAGCCCGGCGCGGGGGCTCGACGGCCTCCTCGCCTCCAGACTCCGGGACCAGATACAAGAGAAACGCATGCAGCATAGACAGAACAAGCAAATAAGCGACGTATGGAACATCTGGGCTGACCAGGGGCGTGCATCCAGGCCGATCAACCAGCCGCCGTCCAGAGCTCCAACACAGCAGGAGTGTTCGAGACTGCGGCCAGGATCCGCAGGCAACCCAGCCGCGAATGTAGGAAATCGGGCAGTTGAAAAGCACCGTGCTACCTTTTTCACAGGCAAAAAGAAATTGATAGACATGAGACACGAAAGAAACCGAAGCACACTGACACAGAACAGAGGAACAGGTAACGCAGGAGACAACGACGAGATAGAACACACAACACCTCTCATCCCAGACCGACCGCGTATGCCCGGCCGGACACACAACAGCTACTTACAGGATCGACTGGGAGACAACATGCGGATAGGAAACGGCCGTGACGGTTATGCAAACAGATCCTCCGTGCAGCTCGGATTGTCAGAAAAAGAGAACATGCAAATCGGAACGAAGAGTCAACGGATACCTTCCCCGCAAAATCTTTTAGAGACTCATGAAAATAAGAGCCCAGGGACAACAAAAACAAAGCACATGCCCAAGTCTATGATTGGACGCCGGATAAAAACCACACACACCATCCCGTCGGCCCACTCATAATGGATGGAGAGAAAACAAAACAGATCCAGAACCACCGCAAATCTGCACTCGCCGTAGAAAATGCTGACAAGAGTTTTTCAAATAAAGCATGGATGACCAGATACCCCAGTAGGAGAGAATAAAACGTTTTCATAAACAATGAGAAATCCGGATGCTGTGATCTAGACCAACGCTGGAGGCGCGCTGCGCGGAGTCGGTGGCCGTAACGAGCTTTTTTCTATAAAATTCCTTTTTTTTTTGAGTTCCTTTCTTTTAGGGAACATCTCCTCGAAAATCCCAGTGGCTTGCCAGACTGGATTCATGCGCATAAGCTGCGAGACTGATAAGGCGCAAAACCGCACGACATGCAAATCCTTGTAATCGAGCATCAACAAGCATAATCGGAGTAGCGTCTCCACAAATCCTCCCAGTCGATTGCCCAGCACCGCGAGACATCGCTAGACTTATGCATAACATCGTTTGACAACGTAACCCAGTTAGTAGGACAAATTTGTATTCGTTCGCTAAGGCCGCAACGCTCCGTTTCACTCGATGTGCGTAACACCAAGATTAACGTGGTCAGCTCAAGACATCCACTCCATGTCACCACTATTGCCTAGCGGGCTGAACGGTACCTAGGGCTAGAGATCAGCAATCGGTCATCCATGCGTAACCATCATTCTGTTACTTACCGTCGCCGCTCAACGTGGTCGAAGCCAGGTAGAGACCGTTCATTCCACCCTCCTGAGGACCAGCGGTGGTGGTGGGGTAAAATTTGCGTTCGGTATCGACGTGAGCGTGGATGGGCTCCTGGCCGGACGCCATGGTCTGGGGGAAGACGGGATTGATGTAACCGTCGGACGCTCCGGGCTGAAACATCGAGGTCCAGTCAATTTCGCCAGCGTGATTGGGAGTGGGTCCCGTCATGACAGGACGTTTAGGGTCTTGAACAACCGGGGGCTTTACCTGCTCAATAGGAGGACGATCAACATTCAGCTGCTGGCCGGATGCATCGGTGCCAGGCTGCACGAGGTACGGGTTCTGCTTGGGAGCCGCAAGCCAGGGTCCTCGCTGATGGGGCTGGCCAGGGGGGAAACCGTCGTCGGGCTGACCACGGTTCATCCCATTGACAGACGACATTGAGAAACCTAGAGGCTGCTGGTCCGCGTATCCTGGCCGGCCGGGGGCCATTCCGTTGCCATTCACGGGCGCCTCGCCATACGCCGCACCTGGAATGCCATTGGGATGCGGGACGGTCGTAGGGACTTCATCCTGAACTGGCTTGACAGGAGCCGCCCCAGCTTGAGACCTCTTCAGATGCGCCTGGGGGTGCGACAAGTGAGTCGCCCCAGTCGGGTTTCCGCGTCGCAATGAGCACTTCTGGAAGTGGCGCTTCAGAATATCACTTCGAGAGAAGGTATCCTTGCAGAGAACACACATGTACGGACGATCACCAGTGTCTAGAGAAGGAAAATATTAGTCAGCGAAACAATTCCATCCCCGCAGTGCGCCCATGTTTATCTGACTTGGAAGGGATACTCACGTCTGAGCAAATGGCGCTTCAGATGCTTCGCATGGAGATAAGTCTTGTTGCAGTGCGGGCAAGGGAACTTTCCATCGGCGTCCTTGGCCGGAATGGTTGTGTTCTTGGCGGTACCATTGACACCGTTGGTGACGGGAGTCGCGCGCCCCGGAACGCTCGGGAGAATTCCGCGACGGCCCTGAGACCCAACAACCTGAGTCCTCGGCGGCTCCTTCGCAGCATACGGCGCAGCACCATTAGCACCCGCAACCGGATCCGGGTTCATCCAAGGCGACCCTTTGCCATCATTGTAGCTGAAAGCACCGGATGGAAGACCGGAGAAATCCGAGCGACGGTCCCGCGGAGGCGCCGGCGCAATCGGCTGCGGGTAGCTCTGGGCGCTGGATGCGGGAGGCAGCACGCTATGAGGGGGAGGATAGGGTTGCGACGGCTGGGGTTGAGCCTGCGGGTTGGGATGGGAGAGGAACGACGACGGAGGCAGGCTTCCCACGGTGGTGTGAGGCATGATAGGCGCGGCGGACGACGCGTAAACATCGTGAGTAGAAGCGGGATACCTCGACAGATCCGGCCGGTACGGCTGGCCCATGTAAGAGTGAGGGGCAGGAGACTGGCTGTGATGAGGCTGTAGCGGGGGAAGGGTATGCGGCTGGGACACAGGGTACTGAGGCTGCATGGTGTACTGAGGCATAGGCATGCTCGAGATGGGCGTCGAGGACAGAGGCGTGGAGCCCTGGGGTAGACTGGTGGATGGGGGCCGTGAAGGATGAGATCTGGGATCCATCGTGACGCGGAGAGGGCTATCAAACACGGGAGGGGGAGGAGAAAAGTGAATGGGGTAGAAACTGGCGAAAGATTTCACGGTATCTCGATCATTGATCGCAGAGCGAAAAAACCTTTCGTGCGTGTATGGTGCTTCGTGGGAGCGAAAAGCTTGCCAATGCCACTTTGTTCAGATCCTGACCGCGTGCCTCGCAAAATTCTCCCGCCTGGAGTTGTGTGTTTGAACCTTTCCGACGACTCTGGCTTCTTGTCCTGGCTTGTTCCGACGAAAGCAATTCTCCCACCTGATGCGGAGAATTGTCGACTGAGATTCTCGGAAAGAGTAGGTTCGATAAGCAAATCGACGCTCAAGGATCCTCAAGGTCGACGATAGACGTGCAGGATCAAGTCCGACTCCACTGCAGAAAAGAGGTCAGGAAGAGGTCGAGATGCTTAATCTGAATTCCCCACGGTCACCCACCAGAAAATCGAGTTGTGTGGGAACTTCTCACTATCCGCACGTTGTCAAAACAGTCAATGGTTCTGATCCACCAGGGAGGCGGCGTGTGAGTGGGTCTAACACAATCAGCAGTGCTAGAGGAAAAATCGCTAGCCAATTTCTGCTTCGCGTCAACAATGCGCGCGAGATTGACCAGGATAATTCGGATGAGGGAGATCACAACTGCCAGGGACAGCGCGTATAGATGCGGAGACCAGGGCAAAGGAAGAGGAAAAGTAAGGGGGAGGAGATTAAGAGGGAAAAAGAAAAGAATGATAAAATAAAATAAAAAAGGTTAGGAAAATTTGTTCCAGAGAGAGCACCCAAGGTAGCCGTCTCTAGGTAGTCACGGGAATGGAGGGACTAGGGAGGGAGGAGGGGGGGGGGACATACCGCTC